TAATCCAAAGAACTAAGACTTAAAAATACTTAGAACTGTTATTTCTTCTTGTAGTTTGCACTGAAATGGAGCAAAGGATCATGGTCTATGTAGTTCCCTGTCTTTTTTAACTACTGTTGCACCATAACTCTTAATTTAAGCAAAGAGTCTTGGCCCTCAATATTACTGTGAGAATTTTGACGATACGATATCACAATATTTCGGTTATTGTTACATCCCTAGTTTATGGTTGAAATGAATCTGAAATTTACTTCCAGAACCAGCGCAAACTTTGAAGCGGGCAGGATTGTGGAGCTCGACATAATAAAATAAATGCCGGTTTTCTTCTGCATAGCCTGAAAAATGTAAAAATTACATGACAGTAACTTATTTGTTCACAATTAGTGTTAAACTACAGCGATCTGTGGTCCAGCTGCATCACTGTCTGTGGTTACAAGCACACTCCAAATCAGATTATTATCAGATTTTATGAGTTATAAGACTATTAAAATGACATGTAAACAGCAAAACCACTTAATGTCTTTCTGCTCATGGTCCCTCTGATCACTCACATCAGATTTTGCAGGATTTACATGTCATTTAAATCATCTTAAATGTCCAGAAATGAGATAATAATCAGATTTTGGCGAGGATGTGAACACACTCAGCCACTGTGCTCAGTCATTACCAGTGTGAATGCCACTTCCTCTTGGCACTTCCTGTCCCACATTAATATTTAATCCAAACAAGGGCGTAATCTGTTGGTCTTTTGTGGCACAGTAATTGGATTTGGCCGTCATCAGAGACTCCCTCTATGCACAGTCTGTCGTGTTAGAATAAAGAGTGAGAGGAGGGGGGGAGGGGGATCAGCTGATGTCTCCACTGTTCCCCAACTGTCACGGGATCCTCATTTGGCACACATTTATCTCACTAAATGGTGAGATAATAGCAGGGATGTAACAATAACCGAAATATCGTGATATGGTATCGTCAAAGTTCTCACAATAATATCGTGGACCATCACAATATATCGAATTAGAAGTGTCTTTGCTTAAATTAAGAGTTATGGTGACTAGGGATGGGCATGATTAATCGATAATAGCTCATTAAGAATTTCATCGATTACGTACATTTTAATCGACAAACCGAATGTAGGTTGCTGTGTGTAGTGTGACCAAACAGGGTCTGTACATGTGTCTCTCTGCATCAGAAGGAGCGAGACACAAACATTCAGTCAGTCTGCAACGTACCGAAGCACAAATGTGTATTTAACGATGATTTGTACAAGAAATTCCAGGCTTTCCGTTGCGTTCGGGACAAGTGTGAGTCCATGTGCACAGTGTACAAAGCAGCACATATGTTTCTGTGTCCAGTGGGAAAAAGCTTTGCCAGGTGAGAGTCGCTCAATGTCGATGACGAGTCCCCACCTCCCTCCCCCGTACGGTGTCCTGGTTTTTACAAACGCAAATATGGTCACACTAACCTGTATTCACCTGAGTCATGTCTTTTAATCCAACAGAAATTGAACCACATCAGTGACACAAAAACTGTAGTTTTATCTTCGCTGAGTTTATGCAAATTAGCGATGCGGTTTTAAGTTTTGTTTCTGTGAGAGTTGTGCAAAACTGAATTAAACACATTATAATATCAAACGGATTGATGTGGCTCTAGAGTCGTTACGGTTTATATGTCGTAAAGTTGAATTTATTTATGCAGATTAGTGGTGCAGATAGTCATAATAATGATGATCATTTTAATACAAAAACGTTAATGATTAATCGATCGTTAATTCTTCCAATGATCGATTAAGAAAATTTCATCTGAATGCCCATCCCTAATGGTGACGGAGAACTACATAGACCATGATCCTTTGCTCCATTTCACTGATAAATACAAGAAGAAATAACAGTTCTAAGCACTTTTAAATCTTTGGATTAAGTCTTGTCAAGGCATTTTAAAAGGAAAAAGTAGCATATTAACAGTTTTATCGTACCGAGAGTCTGGATATTGTTACATCCCTAATCGTGAGCTTTCCCACGATATCGCAATAAATATCGTACCGTGAGGTTCATACCGTGACAATATTGTATTGTGAGACTTGGATATCGTTACACCCCTATCATTTAGTCAGTCAATTAACAAATAATACGGCGCATTTAACAATTAAAACAAAATTCAATCATTATTGTTTTGTCATATAAACAACAGTATGAATTAAGTAACTTGGCCTTTTTGTATTTTTACATTACATTAGGGTGACCAGATTTTCAAAATAAAAAACTGGAACATCCTTTGGGTTTTTTTTTGGTAATTGGTAATGATAAAATTGTGAAACGAGTGCGTAATTAAGGAACATTATTATGCAGAGACCATTCATGATGAACATGTGAGTCAATATAATCACATTTGTCTTGTTTGTTTTCATTTATATTTTGTCTCTTATATATACAGTAAGTCATAACTAAAATTGTAAATGCAAATTTGCTGTTCATACGCTGCTTTTCTATCTTGGAATTATGTCATTTTTTAAGAGGCTTTGCCTTTATAAGTAGTTTTTAATTCAGCCTAAACCCTTTCGGTCATGATCTATGGGGTTATAGTCTATGTTTTGTTTTGTTTTGTGTTGTAGTGCTGCAATATGACCGAATAAACAACTACTACTATATTTTCTTTGTGTTTTGATCATTTTTAAGCAGCTTTTCTGTATTTTACATAAACAAATGACAATGTATGCCTCTTTTTACTGTTTCCAGGGATAAGACTGGTCAAAAATATGGACACAAGGGACATTCCTTGGGACAAATCTGGGACATTTCTTGTATAAAACTGGGACAAATCACCGTTTTTTGGATGAATCTGCTGGGACAGGGGACACAGGGCTCAAAAGTGGGACTATCCCGGGACGTCTGGTCACTCTATATTAACCTACCGATTATTTAATAGACCTGAAATCATCTTTTTGATTGGTTGTACATGAATAAATGCATAAATACATTAAAAAATAATAATAAATAGGCTAGTTATTCTAACAAAATGGTTAAAGTTGCAGGCCTATGTTGTAAAATGTAAATACGGGGTTATTAAAATCTTAAATCTGTGCTGGATGTCATGCTGTTTGTATTGACAGGGCTCCAGACTCCCAGCTGTCCTCCGAGCATCCACCCCGGCCTCCTGCCTCCTGCCCCCTCCTCCCCGTCTCCACTATCCCTCCTCCTCCTCCCGCTGCTGCTGCTGATGCTGGGGCGGCCCGTGGCACTGCTGCAGCCTGGGGGAACGGCACACACCCTCCGGCTTCCAATTAATCACCACCCCCCTCCCACTTTCCACCTCAATCTCCTCCAGGCTTCGGCACATGGCTCTTTGTATCCCACTGACAACAACCAACCAGGAAACATGGCTATTACTGCTATAAAAAAAGTACAAATGCATTTATAGATCTGCTATTTTATAAAGAAATATTAGGGAAATGGTAGAGTGACCAGATTTTCAGAATAAAAACATGGGATACACCTTAATTGGGATGGTTTGTATGAATAAAAATGTGAAAAAACAGCGTAACATTGCCCATTCTTGACTCTCTTGTGGGTAAAAATCATAATCTGAGGGACTGTTGTTGCATTTTTTGTCTTATAGTCATTGTCAAGCAGATTTTAGCTGAACAAATGACAATATATGCCACTCTTGACAGTTTTTGGGGGGTCAGATTATTCAGAAATGTGGACAACTTGGACGTTTCTTGTATAAAACTGGGACAAATCACAGTTTTTTGGATGAATCTGCTGGGACAGGGGACAGGGGACACAGGGCTCAAAACTGGGACTGTCCCGGGTAAATAGAGATGTCTGGACACTCTAGAAATTGGACAATGCAGTATTAATCGCAATTGGTGACATATAAGCTACTGTTAAATTGCACAGTTCAATTTTCAAGACAAAATTACAATAAATGCATTTACACATCTAACATTTTATAAAGAAATATTAGGGAAAACGATAAGGTGACCAGATTTTCAGAATTAAAAACTGGGACACACCTTAATTGGGATGGTTGGTATAAATAAAATTGTGAAAAAACAGCACAACATTGCCCATTTTTGACTCACTTGTGGATAATAAACATAATCTGAGAGACTGTTGTTGCATTTTTTATGGTCTTATGGTAAATTTCAAGCATATTTTAGCTAAACAAATACAATATATTCTGCTCTTGATGGTTTTTGGGGCATCAAATTGGTCAGAAATGTGGACAACTTGGACGTTTCTTGTATAAAACTGGGACAAATCACTGGTTTTGTATAAATCTGCTGGGACAGGGGACACAGGGCTCAAAACTGGGACTGTCTTGGGTAAATAGAGATATTTGGTGACTCCAGGAAATGGACAATACAGTATTAATCGCAATCAGTGACACATAGGCTGTTGTAAAATTGCACAATTCAATTTTCAAGACAAAATTACAATAAATGCATTTACAGATCATAATCTGAGGGACTGTTGTTGCATTTTTTGTGGTCTTATGGTCATTTTTAAGCATGATTTCTATATTTTAGCTCAACAAATGACAATATATTCCGCTCTTGACAGTTTTGGGGGGCTCAAATTGGTAAGAAATGTGGACAACTTGGACATTTCTTGTATAAAACTGGGATAAATCACAGTTTTTTGTATAAACCTGCTGGGTCAGAGGACACAGGGCTCAAAACTGGGACTGTCCCGGGTAAATAGAGACGTCTGGTCACGTCTGGTCAAGTATTAATAGCAATCGGTTACATGCAGGCTACTGTTAAATTGCACAACTACATTTTTTTAAAGCCAAAATTACAATAAAAGTTGAAAAATGTGATTAAATATGCTAGAAAATTTCGCACCTGCACTGCCATGTTTCAGACTACACGTGTTATAAACTGATTGATGCAGACACGCTCATCAAATATAGGCCTAAAATCATAAAATCCAAACTTGCAAAATGTCATGAATGAAAGTATTTCAGAAGCACGTTTTAGGATTGAAAACTGGGCTTACCTTTGTCGCTTGTGTCCTTTTCCATGATGATAAAAGTGCGGATTTTGAGGAAGAGCGGCGACAATAGAGAAGAGAGGAGAGGGGCGTGTCCGACAGTGCGGCCCTTCTGTGACGGACAGCTGCGAGGGCCAATCAGAAGGCAGCAGCTCTGGAGGCGGGGCGTACAGATTTAGAGCTGGTACAGAAGACGCAGCGATTGGACAACGAGGTTTGGGGTGATTAAATAAATAATTAAAATAAAAAATAAATTGCAGTAATGATATAAATGAATTAAAAATACATAAAAATAACATGGAATTCACTGGTGTCAATTCCAGGCATTATTTTATTATTAAAGATTCCACCTATCCTACTTCCCATGAGCCCAAATCTTTCCTTTTTTTTTTAAAATGCACCACACTGTCTTTTAATGCACCACACTGTTTTTAATGTACACCACAAAGCAAGGCATACATGCACAATTGCACATTGAAAATAAATAAATAATAAACAAATAATAAATAAATTCTTGTCATGCTCTGTCATTTAAGGTAAATCTCTCCAATTACACTGTTAAGAATCTCTACATAACTATACACAATTAGTGAGGATGTAACAATAAACGAAATATCATGATATCTTATCAAAAGTCTCACAATAATATCATGAATATAATCTGAATTCTTTCTGTTCTGACTGTAATGATTCACTCATTTCTACATTTCTACAACATATTATATATATATATATATATATATATATATATATATATATATATATATATATATATATATATATATATATATATATATATATATATATATATATAAATATGTAAAATATTAAAGACTTGAAATCACTCAAAGCAGACGACTTGGACTTGACTTGGACTTCTGGGACAGTGACCCGAGACTCAACTTGGACTTGCCTGTATTTGACTTGGGACTCGACTCGGACTTGAAGTCAAAGACTTGAGACTTATTTGAGATTCGCAAACAGCGACTTGGCCACACCTCTGAGAGAAAGACACAATCTAAATGTGCAAGATTTGTGTGTTAAACATGTGAATGAAACAAAACACAACTCCAGGTCTGTTTGTCACGAGGAAGCAACATTATAACAGATCAGATAAAAGCCTAATACGTGCCCTTTAAAGCATAATTATTGGAATACACATGTACGTATGAACTTAAATATCCCCATTTTCATCATCTCTCTTTTTTTCCTTCGGCCATGAGAGCCTCAGTGTGAACAGAGCCCAAGATCACCCTCTCCCCAGGCGCTTCCTGTAAGGTATTCCCAAGCAAGCTGAGAGTCACAGTCCCACAGCTATTGTAAATTTTCACAAGTCGAAAACAAATTTGGGAACATGAATGGTGTGACGTCAGCTGGCTGTTTTAAGTTGCTCTAAAACAAATGTTGATTCTCGGCGTGTATCTGTGAAAGGTCCACAGTAGTGTTGTGTTACGGGCGATGGGGGACCTCTGCTCGCTGAGATGAAAGCTCTCGGTGCTTGTGTTCTCCTGCTCGGGTTTAGTCCACTCTCTTTGTTTATTATGTGTAATTTAAAACCATGTGGGTAAACATCACACAGGATCAATGTGGAATTCGAGGTCGATTACCGTAAATACCATGACAGACAAAATAACGAACATGTTTTGATTGGAAATTTCGAAATTCTTCCACGTCAGCGCTGGTAACGAGCTGGAAAAAGTAGATAAATAGATTGAGATTTAGTGATTTCCTCGTATTTCCATTGTTTTTTTGCTAACTCGAGGATATATATAGTCTGTATCGTATTGACTATCAAACTGTTTTTATGTCGCTTTTCACAGACTTCAACAGGAAGAGAGGGCTGTTAATAACTATCCTGATTCATCAGACGGTTTCACTTTGTGGAAACCGTCTGACCTCGCAGCATTAGGATTCTGTTTGCTTGATGGTAGGCGGGTACTTTTTTATTTAACCAATCGCTGCTGTTTGGTCGTGACGTTTGTAATGATTTGGCGCATTACAGGTCTGACTTTAAAGAAGAGTTTTAGCTGGAACTACAACCTGACCTGATTTTGACCTGACCTGATTTTGTGCTCTTAAAACAAGTCAAACAGTTTTTAATTGACTCCATTTTGTATTTTCTCTTGAGTCCTCAGACCACCTTAAATCTTAAAACACTGTTTGTATTGTGTCACCATGGTAACTGCTGTTTAGACCTGGTTTATTTCTGGTTTAGACCTGGCTTAGTTCTGGTTTAGACCTGGCTTAGTTCTGGTTTAGTTTTGGTTTAGTTCTCGTTTAGACCTAGTTTAGTCCTGGTTTAGTTCTGGTTTAGTCTAGGTTTAGACCTAGTTTAGTCCTGGTTTAGTTCTGGTATAGTTCTGGTTTAGTCTAGGTTTAGACCTGGTTTAGTCCTGGTTTAGTTCTGGTATAGTTCTGTTTAGTCTAGGTTTAGACCTGGTTTAGTCTAGGTTTAGACCTGGTTTAGTCCTGGGTTAGACCTGGCTTAGTTCTAGTTTAGACCTGGTTTAGACCTGATTTAGTTCTGGTTTAGACCTGGCTTAGTTCTAGTTTAGACCTGGTTTAGACCTGATTTAGTTCTGGTTTAGACCTGGGTTAGTTCTGGTTTAGACCTGGTTTAGACCTGATTTAGACCTGGCTCAGTTTCTGGTTTAGACCTGATTCAGACCTGGTTAAGTCTAGGTTTAGACCTGGTTTAGACCCATCTTAGATCTGTTTTAGTTCTGGCTAAGGCCTGGCTTAGTCCTGGTTTAGTTCTGGTTTCGTGAGGTTGCCTTACAAAAAATGCCATTTAAATAAAAAAAAAACACCTCTAAAATAAAATAATAATAAAAACACTGCAGCTTTAATCCATGATAAATGTGATGAAATGATAAAACATGTTTATTTTGTGATTCCAAATAAGTTTAAATGAGCCGATCAGAGTCAACCAAAGAGCGGCTCTCATGTGGCTCTGTGGCTCTCGAGGTCTGTGTTTATAATAACAAATCAGACAAAGTAGGAGTATATTTTGAATAAAGCACTTTAATAGCAGATGGATATTAGAAAGAAGACGACAGTTAGTGTGTGTTACTTACAGGCGCAAAAATCCCATTGGACACAACTCCAAATCTCATCAAACTCTTTTCTACTCGTTTTGACACTACAGTTTCAAGGCTTAGTGCTGATGCAGGTCTGGGAAGGAAGCTTAACAAAATCCATAAATGAGCTATATCTTAGTCCTGGTTTAGACCTGGTTTAGACCTGGTTTAGTTCTAGTTTAGACCTGGTTTAGACCGGGTTTAGTTCTGGTTTAGACCTGGTTTAGACCTAGTTTAGACCTGGTTTAGTTCTAGTTTAGACCTGGTTTAGACCGGGTTTAGTTCTGGTTTAGACCTGGTTTAGACCTAGTTTAGACCTGGTTTAGTTCTAGTTTAGACCTGGTTTAGACCGGGTTTAGTCTAGGTTTAGCTCTGTTTTAGTTCTGGTTTAGACCTGGTTTAGACCTGGTTTAGTTCTAGTTTAGACCTGGTTTAGACCGGGTTTAGACCGGGTTTAGTCTAGGTTTAGCTCTGTTTTAGTTCTGGTTTAGACCTGGTTTTATACCTACTTTAGTCTAGTTTAGATCTGGTTTAGACCTGATTTACATCTGGTTTAAACCTGATTTAGACCTGGTTTAGTTCTAGTTTAGACCTGGTTTAGACCTGGTTTAGTTCTAGTTTAGACCTGGTTTAGACTGGGTTTAGACCGGGTTTAGTCTAGGTTTAGTTCTGTTTTAGTTCTGGTTTAGACTTGGTTTTATACCTAGTTTAGTCTAGTTTAGATCTGGTTTAGACCTGGTTTACATCTGGTTTAGATCTGGTTTAGTTCTAGTTTAGACCTGGTTTAGTTCTAGTTTAGACCTGGTTTAGACTGGGTTTAGACCGGGTTTAGTCTAGGTTTAGTTCTAGTTTAGACCTGGTTATATACCTCATTTAGTCTAGGTTTAGATTTGGTTTAGACATGGTTTAGACCTAGTTTAGACCTGGTTTAGATCTGGCTTAGATCTGGTTTAGACCCGGTTTAATGAGGTTGTCTTACAAAATCTGCCATTTTAAAAAAACATCTCTAAAATAAAATAATAATAAAATCAATGCAGCTTTAATTCATGCATGAGGTCAAATGATAAAACATGTTTATTTTGTATGCGTATATGTATTTTGTAATTCCAAATGATCTTAAACGGGCTGATCAGAGTCGACCATGTGGCTCTGGAGCTGGACAACGCCCCGGTCTGGGTTCTACGAACAAATCAGACAAAGTAGGAGTATATTTTGAATAAAGCACTTTAATAGCAGATGGATATTAGAAAGAAGACGACAGTTAGTGTGTGTTACTTACAGGCGCAAAAAATCCCATTGGACACAACTCCAAATCTCATCAAACTCTTTTCTACTCGTTTTGACACTACAGTTTCAAGGCTTAAAAAACTCCCTTCCTTGATAGAGCAATTCAATAAATAACTAAAAACAAGCTCGCTGACCTGTGCCGCCGTCTTGTCCGTCAAACTAAAAGCAAAACACATAGTTGATAAAATGCTTCATACAATTCTTAATACGAGGTGATTGGGAACCTCAGTTTACCATCTTCATGCATGTCAGTTATACACCGTTGGTTTGTATACAGACAAATACATTATTATGTCCATGTTCACATATATGTTATGTTAATTTGATCATCGAGGAAAATCCAAGCAGCGTTCAACCGACATTGAAGATCTGATATATTTTCAAATCAAGCGACTTCTTAAGTGCTGATGCAGGTCTGGGAAGGAAGCTTAACAAAATCCATAAATGAGCTATATCTGGAAGTCAAAAATAGCTTACAAAAATAATTTCTTAATGTTCGTTTACTTTTGACATCTGCGCTGATAATAAGAATAATAATAATACAACAACGTCTATCAGGGTTAAAGCGGCCACGTTCTGACCCCTGCTCAATCCTGCTGAAGGTACGAGGCGTTAAATAAGTTTGCGTATAACTAAGCGATGATACTTAAAACAAATGTGTAGACAGGAACTGATACTGTCTTTGGCAAGGACATGCTTACACTGCAAAAAAGAAACATCCAAATTAGTAAAATGAAAGTGAATTCAGAATTTTAATCTTAAAAGCCCAATACCGTTAGAGTAAAACATGGCTCAGTTTGAACTTTACCCTAAAAATGCATTTCGCTATGTACATTTTTTCATTATTTTTATCTTATACAACTTTTACAATTTTGACAAGTTTTCGATGTATTTACTTAAGGAACATAAATAGTTTGAGTACCGTATTTTTTGGACTATAAGTCACACTTTTTTTCATGATTTGGGTGGTCCTGACTTATACTCTGGTGCGATTTATATCTTAAAATCTTCACAGTGACAGCCTCGAGAGGGCGCTGTGCGTCAGTATCTGCTGCTCCTGTACACTGTCACTTGGCTCTACTGCGCATGTCTCCTGCAGAAAGAGCCTCTGTTCTGTCTGTATCATGTCAGTCGATCGCACCATTTCTTCTGTACCACTGAAAATGTAACATTTAAACAAACTTATAAAGACGACTGAGGAGACTGAACATAAATGCCCCCAAAAAGAAAATCATATTTTGCAAATTACAAACTGCAAGTAGCGAAATATGTAGCTGAAAACAATAATCGAGCAGCAGAAAGAAAGTTTGGAGTGAGCGAGAAACTTGTGACACCGGGAAGAGCACAATGCAACTTTCCTGGAAGTCACTGGATGGATGGACAAAGTCTGGACTTCAGAGACACTGAAACCATCCTGTCGGGATTCAGAAAGACCAGAATAATTCTAACTGGAACTGATGCTGAGTCTGACGACACTGAAGAGAAAGTGGCGCTCAATTTACCTCCAGAGGTTGTGGAGTTGCTCAGAAGTGACACCGAGGATGAAGAATTGAATGGATTTAGTGATTTGGAGTGAGATGGAGAGTTTGGTAAACTTGTTTGTTCTGTTGTTTATGTTATATTTATCTGAAGAACTGTTCATATGTGACGTTAACAGTCTGTTGTTCTCTCTTCTATTGTTATCACTATAACTTCACTTTCAAGATGAAATGTTGATTCCTGGTACATTTCTCCCAAAAAAGCGCAACTTACACATGTTTTTTTTTCTTCTTCATTACACATTTTTTGGTTGGTGCGACTTATACTCCAGAGCAACTTATAGTCCGAAAAATATGATATTTTCAGTGAGTAAAGTTAATAATAATAATTAGTTTCAATACACTGGCGTATTTACTAAAAATCTGACTCATTGGCAGATTAAATGTCATAAAATGTTGAAATAATGTAGCTTATACAAACTTGTCAAAAATCCCGATTTCAATTTTGAATTCAAATCATTTTCCGATTTCCGATTTTCCATTTTTGCAGCGTCGTGAACATAAAGTGTAACAGTCACACAGTGAGTACTGATAATAAAAAGACAACAAAACTAGGACAGTGGATAGAAACGAGAAGTCAGATATAGTGTGAGTCTGAAACGGTTCACAGATGACTGGAAGAGTTAGAAAAAGCATTTTGTTGTCCAGTGGAAGAAGTTTGGACGGTGGATGCAGAAATCGTAGAGAGGAGCAGAGTGTAGTCAGGCCATGCAAGCAGCTCCTCCTCCTGATCCAGTTTAACACCACGGACGGTGAAGAAGAGAGGACTTGGAACATTTTGACCGGAAATTGAAGCACAGTTAAAGCGGACTTAAAACATATGGCACGAATAGACGACATACAAAACGTTAAAAACATTATTGTGCACATTTACAATTAGAAATAAGTTTGTGAATAAGTTGAGAAAATGACAGACGTTGCTACAGTCTTGTGACGATCAACAAAATTACAGTTTTGCAATAGCGTTATACAGGTTCAGGTTTTCATTCCCCATAAGGTAATTAGCCTTAAAGATGCACTATGTAACATTTCAGCAGGGGGTCTTGTTTCTATAGAAATGTCATTGCTCTGCTTAGAATGTTCCACACACATGATTTTAAACAGATCTGCCTTACATTTATTCAATTACAGGTGGTTTTATTGCTTATAAATAATTAGAAAAACAGGCGTTCTGACTGTGAGCGAGCCATTCCACAGATCTGAGCTGTAACTTAGTCTGGTTTTGGTCTCCATGGAGATAGAAAAGTTCAATACCACACTGTTAAACATGCCAGACCAAGCACAATATCCAAAAAATTACACAATGCGCCTATACCTTTACAATAGCATGAACTAAGACTTATTTCATAATGAATAAACACTTTATTAACAATAATTCAGGCTTAGTAACTACTTAATTAAGATGTTGGAAGTTAGGGTATTAATTAAGCAGTTACTTAAGCCTGAATCATTCTTAATAAACTGTTTTGTTAAGAACGATTAAAGGTGCATTGTGTAACTTTTCTGGTGGAGGCTCTTGGTGAAGTCTTTTATTGTTTCGCCTGAATGTTCCACCGTATTCAACTTTTCTATCTCCATGGAGACAAGGACGTCACCAGGTCAGGTTACGGGTCAGATACGGGAAGAGGCAAGCCCTAAAAACACATGTAATTTAATAAATATTTGATAAATTTAACGCCATAGTGTGGGACATTCCTGGCAACCCTAACGCAGACACGGTAATAACGTGCAGCAGTGTAACCTCAACCAGAAACGTTGCACAGTGCACTTTTAAAGGGACAGTTCGGAATTTTGGACATAGGAGCCTCATTTCCTAGTGAGCCAGAGTGTTGGAGACGTGTGGAGACACTTTTTAAAATATTCCATCCAGTCCTTGTATTTGCAGAGGTCACTGGTGCTAGACTAGTGTATGTTAATGGCCATAGTTATCCTGCCACTAAAAACACTCTTACCCACTCCACAAAACACCCGAAGCAAAATAATTATAACGCTAAACTGTCAATGTAAATGTTTGTGTTCACAGAATAATGTTTGAAATAAAACTAACCTTCCATCGTATGAATCGTTGTATGTTAAGGGACTATTTTCTCATATATTAGTCCGCCACTGCCAAGCTTTCTATCAGGAAGTACAACTCGCTACCTCGCTGGCGCCACCTAGTGCCTCTGCTCAATTTCATGTCTCTCCGGCGACTAGGTCAGGAATCAGAATACACTAGACAATTTGCAAGAACCCTGGAAGTGCGAGTTCAGGCACCAGCCAATCAGCGAAGAGCCATACATTCTGTGTTGTCAACGATTCCCGAGATCGAGGATTTAAAGCCGGAACAAAGAGAATGTTTGGTGAATTTTATCAAGGGGAAAGACGTTATTGCCCTTCTTCCTACGGGATTTGGGAAAAGCGAGCAAAAAGCAGCGATTGGTTAAATAAAAAAAAAGTACCCGCCTACTGTCAAGCGAACAAATGCTCATGATGCGAGGTCAGACGGTTTCCACAAAATGAAACCGGCTGATGAATCGGGCTAACAACTCGCTGCTGCTGCTTAGACATAAATCCTTCAAATGCAAGGTTAGTTTTATTTCTAAAATTCTAGCAACACAGACATTCACATCAACAGTCTGGTGTAATAATAGATTTGCTTCGGGTGTTTTGTGGAGTGGGTAAGAGTGTTTTTAGTGGCAGGATAACTATGGCCATTAACATACACTAGTCTAGCACCAGTGACCTCTGCAAATACAAGGACTGGATGGAATATTTAAAAAAGTGTCTCCACACGTCTCCAACACTCTGTCTCACTGGGAAATGAGGTCCTATGTCCAAAATTCCGACCTGTCCCTTTAAATCTTTGTTCACGCTTTATTAAGGCTATTTTTTATAAAGTGTTATCCAATATAACACACTGTCACACTTGTGGCAGCCCCAAGCATAAATAAAAACGATTAAAACAAAATTAAAACAATAAATAAAACACTAAAAAAAGGCCTATTGTAATGCGGATTGGCCTCGACGAGTTGAAAAGGCACAAACCATGAGCATGTATTGCAGTTCTCGCTGTACACGACAGTAAGGCTAGACTAACATAGCAAAATCCACTAGGCTATAATCATGCATAGGCCACTGAATTCCAGGCAAAATGTACAGTATATGCTACTGTATGTTAGCCTATTGCATGCTTTAAAAATTATTCTGAAGCTAGAAGCAACAAAACAGACTAACACGGACTTCCACACATCACAAACAATGAAACACGTTAATGTAATTTATCACTTTTGCGCTTTCAAGCTCGAAAAACCAAGTCCTCTCCTCTTTACCGCCAGTGAAACATTTAGACGACATTGCATACAAAAAAAGCAGGATTGTAAGGGTGGAGTCCGGATGTAGAGCGCCTCCCGGTGGGCTCCCGGGCGGACAGCAGGTGGATTGCAGGGCTTACATGGCGGTGCATATAGAGATATTTCATAAGAGTCCAGGCTGATAGTAGTTGAGATGTAGTTTGGCATTTCTATACTCCTGTCCCGGGCCTAAAAAAGACGAGCCTTCTTCTTCATGTCGTTCCTCTTCCAAAGGGCCAGGCGGTCGAACTGCTCCAGCGTCATGCCAAACACCTGCATGAAGTCGTGTGGAGATAGGTGTCTCTGCGGGAGAACAGAGAGTAAACGATTAACAAAAGAATAGATCGTAATAGAACAACTACTTTTTTCGCATTTCATGTTTTAGAATTTAAAATAATATCTATCTTTAGACAATAGACGTCTTGTTTTTTACGGTATTTCAAAGGTACTGGGAAAGGGGGTTATGGTGTCTTTTTACGGCAGCGGAGGGAATTACGCTTGAACATCACACAGCAACTACGATGATCAACTTTTTTCCGACATGCAAACAGAAGCACGCAGTTGTGATGAATGGGATTTGACGTCACAAATGCTCAGATTTTGATTCATGCACCTGAAACAGTGTAAATGTTGCGCCCTCTACTCTGACAGTTTGGGAGAGGTACGTTGTTGCTTTTTGTGGACAATGAAGGACAGAGATGCAGTTCACGTCCTTACTCCATTACTTTATTTCAAAAAGTCAATGGGCTGGAATTAAATAAGTTTTCTTCTCCCCACTCCTTTTTAATATGAATTAATCATGTTTTTAACATTTTTTTAAATAACTGACCCACTTTTTTTAATCTGTCACACAAGCAACCTCTAGAGTTTTAACTGTGATGTCACAAAACTGGAAAATTCAAAATAGAGTGTTTTCATGAGGCTTAGAAAGAGCAAACTTGCTTAAGAAGGATTCAACAAACAAGTGTAAAAAAATGCAAAATACAATATTTTGGGGAAAATTTTATAACATGTTTAAAGCTCAAAAATGTTAACTTTTGTATAATATAATATATGTGAACATTAATATTACTTGTTTAGCGTAAAACATTCCATAAATTGCACCTATTTGTGATAAACAAATCTGAAAACTAACTGTAAAGATGCAAAAAACCCAATGCACTCACTGGTTAAAATAAAAAGCCTTCATTAATTTACAGCATGTTTTAATGGACAACTTACAAAGTCCCGACGTGTTTCAGCCTATGACTTCCCTTCCCCAAAGAGCATCACTGAGTTTTTTCATTCCGCACTCTCCTCTCCAATTTATGTCTCTCTTTTTTAATTTTAATCTTCATGATTATTTATGTTTTGATTTGTTTTTATTATGATTTTAATGTATTTCTTATTCTGTAAAGCACTTTGAATTACTTTGTGTACGAATTGTGCTGTACAAATAAACTTGCCTTGCCTATCCTGTGTATTATCCTCTGGGAATTGCTCCTTTTGAAACTTTTTTTATACTGAAAACTTACTGTTTTTATTCTTCACTCTGTTGGCATATTAGATAAAAAATACAGAAGCAATTTTGAAAAGCTTTCTGAAAATGGTGGTGAAAATGTTAATTTTGACTTTAATGAATCAGGCACAGAAGTAGCTATCAACAAATCCACAAATGTACCATCTGTGTCAGATTTGCCTGCACTGTCTTGTCTAAAACTGCATGACATTTTTAAAGAAGATATATTATACTCCTGGTTCATTATTTTTACATTATGGACATTTAATCTGTTCTAAAAAGCTTAATAAAAGAAACAAGCCGACTGACACTTGAAAACTTCATCACAACTAAACTAAACTAGTGAGCTTGTGACACTGCTGAGTCACACGGATATTTCCATATAAGGAAGAAAAACATCAGTACAGAGCCGTGCGTGTGTGTCTAGGGTAGTGGAACGTGATTTTTGTTTTGGAACAATGGCGTCTTGATTGCAGGAGAATTACCCAAACATGCATGAATCCCTCAGAATACAACTTTAAGTGGGCAAATGAGACGGCAAAACAATTATAACATGATTAAAAGCTCCATTCTGCATTTACGTCTCCTTTAATTTAAGCATTAGTTTGATATCATATTTAGCTCGTCAACACATTTTCCTTTACAAATACAACTTCCCGCAATTACCAACCGGGCAAGTTTTGATGGATTCGCAGTACGAAAGCAAAAGAATGTTGACCAACTTGGACTGAGCTAAACCTGATGAAATTGTGGAAAATTTTCACCCCTGCAGCTACAGTAAACCAGTGATTTGTTTTCAACTGCCTCCGCTGACAGGGGAACGGCACAGGAACTCTCCAATACCATAACCATCTTGGCTCCCTCTCAGTCTGGTTTTGGACTAAGCTCGGGGCTAATATTTTGGTCCGTGTAGTTTCGATACCACTTCATTTGACTAATAATTTGTTTGGGTAAACCGGTATCCCACTACGGGGTCCTTTCGAGGGGGCCAAACCGCAAAACAGCCTTCGTACGTCAGTAGCACCTCGGTATCCCGCTGGTCCAAACCCTCCCGGACACCATTCCCAGACCGCAGCCTGAGAGGGGGGTCAAACCAGGGCTACGGAGGTGCGCTTGGAAGAAAAAAAGCTTGCGTAACGTATTAGGAAAGCATCACTGTGGCACCATGAGTCTAACCACAAGGATATGCACACTACGGCTGAACTTGAAGCTTTTAAACGGGCTTGTAATCTCAGGGGTAAATGACAAAATATTAGCTATTAGGAAAGGCATGGCAATATTAGTTTTGCGGCGGGAGGAAGAGTAATGGTGCAGAGGCAACGGGGTCAGCGGGTATTTTTGACTCAAGGACGGATGGGAATGGTGCGGTTGCATGATTCAGTGAGGAGGTTAAAATGAGTTGTTAGGCTGTTTAATTTATTTGTCCTGATGTTCGGTCTGTGCTTCGACTCCGCAGGATTTAAGACGAGAAATATTCTTAACTCTAACCGAATGTTTTGTTGTTTTTGCATTGAATTTTCTACAACCCTTTATAAACATATTTTGAAGAAGAAAAAGACCATCGACCATGAAATTCACTGTTTAAAAAATACTTCAAACCAAGGATCTCTATTCTTTATAACTACTAGTATTTCTTAATCTGAAAATCATTGTGGGGTTTTGTTGTTTTGTCTTTTAAACTATGACCCTCCTGAGTGCTGGGGAGTGGAACAATTGATGGCTAAAGGGCTTAAGAAACAGAACATACTGACTCCGTTACGGCACTAGTTATGTTATTGTTTATTTCTAAATGAAAACTCTAAGTGTCCTTAACGTAAAATCAACTTTTATGAGCTTTTAACCACGTTATAAAACGGTTTCCTCATTTGTTTACTCAAGAGTTGTGTTTTGATTGATTCTTGCATGTTTGAGTAATCCTTGAGTAAACCATTTTCCAATATTCAAGGCTTGAGTGCTCAGAAAATGTTTGTTTCACCTACCCCCAGTCACACAGTTCTGTTCTTACTCAAAAACTCTGGGTCACACATGTAGGGTTGAAATCTCACAATTTTTCAGCGGAAAAAATAAAAATCAGCTTCTTACCATGTTGAAATGCGACAATAAAGAGGCCACGCTTTACAGTTTTGCACTTTTTAAAGGGACAGTCCAGAATTTTGGACATAGGACCTCATTTCCTAGTGAGCCAGAGTGTTGGAGACGTGTGGAGACGCTTTTTAAAATATTCCATCCAGTCCTTGTATTTGCAGAGGTCGCTGGTGCTAGACTAGTGCATGTCAATGGCCATAGTTATCCTGCCACTAAAAACAGTCTTACCCACTCCACAAAACACCTGAAGAAAATCTATTATTACACCAGACTGTCCATGTAAATGTCTGTGTTGATAGAATTTGATAGAATAATGTTTGAAATAAAACTAACCTTGCATCGCATGAATCGTCGCATGTGGAGGGACTATTTTCTCATATATTAGTCCGCCGCTGCCAAACTTTCTATCAGGAAGTACAACTCGCTACTGCTGCTCAGACATAAATCCTTCAAATACAAGATTAGTTTTACTTCTAAAATTATTCTATCAACACAGACATTTACATGGACAGTCTGGTGTAATAATAGTTTTGCTTTGGGTGTTTAGTGGAGTGGGTAAGACTGTTTTTAGTGGCAGGATAACTATGGCCATTGACATGCACTAGCCTAGCACCAGCGACCTCTGCAAATACAAGGACTGGATGGAATATTTTAAAAAGCGTCTCCACACGTCTCCAACACTCTGGCTCACTAGGAAATGAGGTCCTATGTCCAAAATTCCAGACTGTCCCTTTAAGTCAATGAACCCATCTGTATTATGAACCCGTTTTAGATCAATATTGAAGTTAACAATGAACAAACTGTATAATGCTTTTGTACATTATGTTATAGTATATTAATAAATACCCCCCAAAAGCCTATAATTGCCACGTTTACGAGAGCTTTAAAAAGACCATGTAAACACTTAATTCTTAATGAAAATGATTGTCCGGACATAAACTCAATTCCAAAGTAAGTGCGTGGTTTATTAAAATTTTAAAGCCGTATAAATCTATTCCTGGATCATGTAAATGTTTATTTTTCTTAAAAATAATTCAGGTCATTCAGCGCATGTTCGTTGTGTCGCCCTTCTGACGCGATCCGGACGATCCGGCTCTAATAGTCCTGGCTTCGGACTTTCATACACTGCTCTTTGGATTTGTGAGCGGGATGCTGGAGTGGGCTGAGGTAGAGCAGCTGTTGACTCAGTTTGTCTTCTTGCTCCCTTCTCTGACACTCTTCCCTTCTCCTCCTCAGCCGACAGACGTAAAGCGTGATGAGAGAATTCTCGATCTAAAGCTTAATCATCATCGGAACGACTGCGAAAAAAGTTTAGATCCTGTTCGTGTCCGTGGCGTAACGACAAACCAAGATGACAAAAAAGCCGGTAGCAGCTGAGGCTTGTGTTTTCTTCTGGTCGACGTAAATACATTGGTGTCCCTGTCCAATCAGAACCCTTCCGGACCCCCAGACGTTGAGCGAAATTAAATAAAGGCGATTTAACTTATGTGTCATGTAAACCTCAATTCAGAATTATTATGTCCACGTGAACTCGAAGGAGAATATTTTAATTCCAAACTATTTGATTCAGAATTAAAAAATGTCATGTAAATGTCTTCTTTAAACATGTCTGTAGAGTAAGTACAGCTCACCTCCAGTCTGGTGCGATCTACATCTCTGGGAAGCTTCACTTTGACTCGATGTGTCACTGCCAACACTTCATATGGATAGACCTAACACACAATTATATGTCAATGCCAAGACACACAAAAAAGTGGATTTTATATGATATTTCAAATTATTCTTACCTTATACTCTGAAAAAGAAAGAAACAAGAAAACAAAGTCATTAGATTATAAACAGTAAACCATTTGAAGTATCTAAACTCTCCTAAATCTCCTAAACTACCCAGGGTTTCAAAGGCGTCAAATGCATTAGAAAAAGCTGCTTTGCTTGGACCACCCCGGCCCCATTATGAGCTTGGCCTGCTGACAATACGACTCCTGGCCTCAGATACAGCGGCTGAGACTGCACACTGGTAAACACACACACCACACGCATACACACACACACACAAACACACACACACACACACACTGTAATCTAACAGTGCAGCTGGAGAGATGACGTGAGACCGCTACCTCCGCTCACTCATGGGCAGCCAGGACTGTAAAATGACCTCAGATTAGACATGCTTTGTTATAGTTTATAGCTGGAATCCCCCAAGGAGTGGTTTTTGGGTGCATGAAGTTTGCCATGACCCCAATACTTTAATCATTATCTTAAACTAGATTATGATGGAATTTTAAGATGTTTTTAAGGGAAACTTTTGGGATCAGTTCCATTTGTAAACTTCAATTTCCAGATTTTAATTGATTAAAAAGCCAGACTGCAAACTAATTAAAAAGTCATTACCGATATAAATGATCTAAAACTTGTGATAGAATAAAATCAAGATAAAAATTATAATTTCTACGCCAAATACTTCTGGGTGTGCACTGTTGCCTTGATGTTTCTTGTTTTGAGTGCACAGAAGTGGAAAACTGCATTCTGATAAGGTCCTAAATTACACAAAATTGATTTCTGTGAGGTTTAAGCCATGTTAGAATGTTGTTACCTCCTCAAAAATATACCTGAAGTTATGTTTTCTGTAACACAGGGGTCTCCAACCTGTAGCTCGGAAGTCACCAGTAGTTCTCCACCTCTTTCCAAGTAGCTCGCCAAAGTATTTCTGAATTACAAGTTTTGTGCTGAATAACAAAAATTTGATGAATATAATGACTATTATAAATTCTAAATGATAATTTTCATGCCTGACTTCACTTTTTGCACTAATTGATAATAGTGTGTTTTATAGGCATCTAACTGTTCCTTGGCGCTTATATTTACTCAATTTCTTGTGACTAAAATGAGTAGCTCTCTGGCATTTTTGTTTTGTAAAGGAGCTCACCAGAGGAAAAAAGGTTGGAGACCCCTGCTGTAACACAACATTGGTCTGTGTACATCTCCAAAGTTCAAAACGCTCTGTTCCACCTTTTGACGTCATGAAGCAATAGTTTGCAAGTTAACAGCTACTTCTTCCCTTTAGTTTAGTATAGATTGTCATTTCCAGGACTGAAATTATCTAAACGATTCTAGTGAAGGTGAATGGAGTTTAAAACCACAGTGGAGCACTTCCTGTATTACCACATGACATCACAAGGTGGAACAGAGTGTTTTTCATTCGAGAGAAGAACTAAAGCTACGTCCAAATGATTTTTTTTTTGTGGGTTGAAAAAAATTTGCATCCACACACGTTTCAGATCAAGAAACATTCACATCTACACGACATCGGAGCACTGAGTGAAAACAATGTAATACATATGCCAAACCTGTATGTGGTGCTGTAAACAGGATACAGCCAGAGCCACTGGACACACAATACTACAAAGGCTACGTTTACACTGAAACGAATCACCGTATCACCCTATCGGAAACGATTTGTGTCCAGACACGCCGTTTCTGTGCCCGTAAGCCTTCCCTGTCCACACAGTTTTGAGCATATTTGTTTAAGTTTTACAGAAACGAAACTTAAAACTGCATGGCTAATTTGTATAAACTGAGCGCTCAAAAAACAGTTCGCTATTGTGCGCTGATGCGGTTCAGCTTCTGTCGGACTAAAGGCCACGACTCAGTGGAATATGAGTGTTCTTTCTGTGACAGAGGGGTGTTCTGCTGATGGTGAGTCTGTTCTGTGCTTCTATCGTGTCAGAGATTATACGTCTGCAGGTCACACGCATGGACAGTATATATGTATGGACATATATTCTAGCCTCTTAACGTTTCGGCGGTGAATTACTTCGTGACGCATAGACCTACATCAGCATATCAGCATTTTCAGGCGTCCACACAGTGCCAGATCAGATCCATACGCAAATGAATTCGTGGGAACTGGCAGCACCAGATCGTTCCGTGTCTGGAGCCGTTTTCATCGGATTAGTGTGGACAAACACTGCATCCACAACGGAAACGACTCGAATATTAGTACTAGTGTGGATGGGGCCAAAGAGAGCATAAAGTCCTTCCTCTTCCACAACAAAGAAACATCACTTTCCAAAAGCTGCGGTTTGCTTGTCCACATGACAACGCAACGCCGGCGTTCTCAGATTTCATCACTCTGAAACCTGTTTTCAAAAAAGACATCTTTTGCTCACCCGAAATGCCCGCTCCGTGTGGACGAAAGGCCAAAACGAATAAAAACTTCACTGTTTCGACCAAAAAAACGTTGTTGTGTGGATGCCACCTAAGTATCCAGGGTTTGTGTTAACATTTGTGAATGAAACAAAACAAAATTCCAGGTATGTTTTGGATGAGGAGACAACATTATAACAGATCAGAAAATAGCGTAATATACTGTAGGTCCTTTAATATACTGTGTGTCTCTTTTCACAAATCCAAACCAATTTAAGAATCAGAATCAGTAACACAAGCCCTGTCTTCAACACTAGATAATGTTCTGAGTGATGTATTGTTGGAAAGCAGATAACTCATATGGTGTTGATATAAATTACACATGGCTGTTACCTCTCATGCCTCCCCAGCTGTGGGAGTCTGGGTCCACCTCGTCCTCCACCATGTCGGCAGCCTGTAAAAACACACGCATACGTTTGTACATCATAAATCAAGATTAGAATACAGCAAAGAGTTATGTTCTTTTGTTCTTTGCCTGTGTAATTAATACAGTGAAAAGTATGTATGAGCATTTTTGCACTATATCACATTTTTCTAGTTTAAACCCTGCCACCTGCTTGTTTTAATGATGATTTTGTTGCTTTGCCTTATATCTGAAATATTCCACAGTATGGTATTAAAGAGGGAAGCACCAATTCGATACTGGAATTGGGAATCGGCACTGATATTGAAATAAAAGATGCTGGACTTCTAAATAGCGATTCAGCCGATATCCTGGTTGATGTAATTTGCTGATTTATTTGCTGATCATAGTTGACCCTGAAAGTCTCATCATGTTTGAATGATTGAATATGAGGGATAAGTAACAGCTTCATAACACATCTGGATCAGTTTTATTGTAGATGACTTTTGTTTAAAGGAAATCAATTCTGTTTGCAGCCTCTGCCCTTCGTACTGGTCAAAATCGGCAGATACTTAAAGCTATAGACAGCGAGTTTGTCTCTGAGCTCCACGCCTGCGATCTCGGCCATCAGTTTGACAGTCTTGGGAAACTTAAGCAAAACGGCGCTCCTCCCGATCTGCCATCTTCCTGGCGACGGCTGAAGTTCCAGACACAAACCCCGCGGTGCTGAATATATTTGGAGGTTTGCAGTCACAGAAGGCCAAAACAAAGCATTAAGCTGGTCTTATTTATAAATGTATTATTTTTTGTTAAGACCTTAGAGTTAGACCAGGGGTGTCAAACTCATTTTGGTCCGGGGGCCGTATTCAATCTACTTTGATCCCAAAGGGGCCGGGAAAAAAAAAAGGCATATATACCCCAAACATAGCAATAAGTTCAAATATTTGCACAGAGAAACACAAATCTATTACAGAAATCTTTTTTAATTGATGAACTCTTTCTTTTGCAAAATATTATAATATTATGAACAACCTGAAACTTTAAGAAAAAACATTGTGTTGAAATTGCATTTAACATTAACTTGTATGCAAATAGGAATAGGTACATTTTTTGGGGAAAATCCTGCACTCGGCGTCAACTTTTCTCATTTTTGACATTTTTCTGATGAGGGTGTCAACACGGTCAACAGTCAAAACGATCGTCCTTTAAGAGCGTTTGGAAAGAGACAAGTCTTCATTTGTGCTGCTCTGGTGGGAGGGGCCACGTACAGAGACACTGGAGACGCTGCTGTGATAAACACCGCAGAAAATTACCATTATTTAAATAGAAAATATAATTAAAATATTTTAGTAGCAAATCAACCGAGGGCCAGATTAAAGGTTTTGGAGGGCTGGATCTGGCCCCCGGACCATATGTTTGACACCCCTGAGTTAGACCTTTAGAGTAAAGGCAAATTGCGACTTAACGAAATTAAAATCTGTGAGGGACCGAAGTTTAAAATCACTCACTCAGGTTTCAATTGAACTGCTCAATATTTGTGTTCCTCACTGAAGTTTTTGGGTCGTCTCATAATTATAACGTCATTGTCAGACATTTCCAGTACAAAAAAAACCCCTCATAAACCCATGGACTGTATATAGATCAGAATTGGTGTCGGAACTGAAAAATCGGAATCAGTTCATCACTATTCCATGGAGTATACAGTAGCATTCATTCCTACTAATAGAAAGAATTAATGTTTTTTTTAGGTATTTAACAATAAAAAGACCTGCACTTGAAGAAATAAATCTAAGATGGATTAATGCCATACTGTGGAACATTCCAGGCAAAACAATAGCATCTCCATGGTGGCAGACTCCCTCGTCGAAAAGGTTACACAGCATACCTTTCAGTTTGACTCATAAATATGTTCACTTTTATTCTTCCATTATTACTAACTTATGTCAGCGTTTTTGCAAACCTCACTATTGTCCCCAGTAACACATTTCCTCTGTCAATCCATCATGGTTTCTTTAATTTCCTCCTCTTTTTCTGTTTTGTCTGCGAGTCCTTAATCTGTCAACAAACTCCGAGGGCGGTCAGCGCTTTTGCCCTACGAGATGAGAGACTAAATACAAGCTCGTCACTAACCCTTCACTGTAATCTGACGCTACAACAGTGAGGTCAACGGCTCCGGGGGACATTCATTTTAAATACAAGGGTTTTAAATGGGCCACAAGTGCAGCTCTTTGGTTCTTTGGTTCCTGTGTTGATTAGTGAATGGTAAAGGGGTTTTTAGAGCGAGGGCAGGGCTGGTTCAGGAAAGCTTTAGAGTAAACACACACACGCAGACGCTACTGGAACTCATTTGGAATGAGGCCAGAAGTCAAGTCCCCAAAGTCGTTTGAAGATAATCTACTCAAAATGAGATTAAATTGTGTTGTGTTGGCAAAAATATTCCACAGAAAGTGTTGTCTCTGTGTAAATTTAGAAGTTAAAGGTTTTATATAACACAAAAAGAATGTTGTTAGCTCATCAAAATCATACTCAGGGTTGTGTTTTGTTTCATTCACACATCTCCAAAGCTCAAAATGCTCTGTTCCACCTTGTGATGTCATGAAGTGGTCATTTTCAAGTAAACAGCTACCCTTTTTACCTACCTAACTACCTTTTTTGGGCAGTAGAGATGGAAAATTCCAGGGCTGCAATCATCCAAATGATTCTAGTAAAGGTGTATGGAGTTTAAAAGCACAGCGAAGCACTTCCTGTATTACCACATGACATCACAAGGTGGAGTTTTTACTATTTGATAAAGGAACACAGCCTTAATAAGCAGGGTTTGTGTGTTAAACATGTGTGAATGAAAACACAACTTCAGGTGTAGTCCAATGAGGTTTAGTTGGTCTTCCGATAATTTATGTTATTAGGTTCTTTACTCAGAACAAGAGTTTGTTTTCATACCTGAAAGTTTCTTCCTCAGAGTCACATGATGTTGCTGTGACGTGTCTGGTCAGCTGATTTAAACAGGTTTTGGGGCTGTCTTCCTACCAGTGGAAGCAGAACGAAAGTGGCATCTGCAATCCGACTTCCTCAGGACAGTATCCCAGGTGTGTGAGAGTAAAAAAGCCCCCACGTCCCGGTTTATTGTACTGTGGGCATGTTTCCGTATTTCGATTGCCTGGGATATTGTCCTGAGGAAGTCGGACTGCAGATGGCGCTGTAATCCCGCCTCTGTCAGTAGGAAGATGGAGCCAAAACCTGTATAAATCAGCTGACCGAACACGTCACAGCAACATCACGTGACCACTCTGAGAAAGAAACTGTCAGGTATGAAAACAAACTCTTGGAAAGAAAAAAGAACCTAATAACATTCAAGTCTGGGTATGTTTTTGATGGAGAAACAACATCATACCATAGATCAAATACTCTGTTATAGGCCCTTTAAATAGAATAGATTATGTAAAATATCTCTTTTTATTTGGCTAATCAAAACCACACCTATTTGAGTATTAAGTATTCTTTGGCGCTGAGTTGTTGATGTCTGAAAATGCTATTCCCAGCAAACTCTGCCCAAACCAGGAAGCGCTGACCAACCATAAAACCCTCTACATCCAGTCTGCTCTCAAAATCTCATTAGTCTGAACACAGCTCTGTTCCCACAACTGATTCCTAACTTATATACTGTGAGAATAATATACTGTATATACAGTTTTTCATTGTTTGCATTTACCATGAGTTTTTTCATTCCTGATTATTTGTGTTTGTGTTCATCTCTACAAAATGATGACAAAAATACATAAGGCAAAGTCAATTAATTTACAAGAACCAGCATCTTAAGCGCTTCATGTTGAATTTTTTGTATGAAAAACGCTCTATAAATAAAGTTTGATTGATTGATTGATTAACACACACCTGACTAACCTTGTAGATGCCATTTCTTCCATAACCAGGTAAGGATGCAGACTTGTTATATGGGAAATCTAAATAAAAAGCACATTCATGTTAACTTTTGCAGACTTCCAAATGTTTTTTTATTTATTTTTTCCTCCTACGACTGACTTGGCTGTGAGGTGTCCGTGGGCAGGCTACATGTGGACTTGCGTGGATCTGAATCTTCTGTCCCATCGATCTCGTTCTTGAGCATACTCCAGCTGGTCCTCTGTGCGGAGCGACAGCAGACAACAGGCATGGAGATAGAAACATGGACACGTGATGATGGGTGATGATGATGGAGTTAGTGAGTTAGTCCATGAATGTGTTTTTTTTTTTTTTTTTTTTTTGTATTTGTTAAGAAAACGTGAAAATGGTGTTGGAGAAATACTAGATGCGCGGTAGTGAGTGGACTCAGACCCACCTTGCTATCCTCCCCATCCTGCCAGGAGGTTCTAGAGGCTGGAAGACAGTCACATGTTACAGGAGGTCAGAGTAAAAGTAGTGGAGAAACCAAGCTGAGCTATAAGCTGTAGTGGCAACCCTCCCTGCGGACCAAAGAGTCAGCTGCAGACAGCATTCACACAACTGGATGCTATTGTTGCTACTTATGGATTTGAAAGAACCATAAGATTTTGATTTAAATTTCATAAACTTGACCAAATCTAATAGAGCTTTTACTGATAGCTGATTTATGTTACAATGTGGTGCTCTGGTTCTCAAGATAATCTAATCACAAAGCATAATGAGCGTCACATGAATCTCTCATTTTGGTTGCCAGTTTCAAAGCTGAAATCCAGTTGGTTTTAATCTAAAACGACTCTCTCTGAGTGAAATCAGGAGGTTCGGATCTTTAATATGAGGCATGGTGTCTTTCAATATACTGAGATCTATCTGCAAGTTAAGGCACCGGCAACCCAGGTGCACTTGACTGTTACCTGTTTTTTTTTTAGACAAAGCTATAATCTTAGGCTACGTTCAGACTGAAGGGCTTAATGCTCAATACAGATTTTTTGCGAGGTTGTTCACATTTCCAATTAAATGCGACTTGTATGTGATCTCCAGTGTGAAATTTAAACGCCCAAAAGTGTCCCACATGCACACTGGAGGACACGATGATGCCATACACAGCAAGCGTGTGCAGTGTTTACAGAAGTCGTCTAAACGCTGGGCTTGTGTCCGAAAATACCTCCCAGTGCTTCATAAAATGGACAGGCTACACGTCCACGGCTGCTTCGTTTGTTTGAGTGTTTAGACTCCTTGTATTTGGCTCGCAGGCTCTTTATTTTTCGTTGACATTGGAGCTTGGACCGATTGTAGCCACGCTCGATCATTTCTTTGGCAATAATTTCAAAAACAGCCTGGTTCTAATAAGACCCCTCCAATTTAGCCTGAATAATCCCTCCAAATATGATTTAACTCGGTAACCTCGCTTTCCCTCCATTGACTAGACTCCGAGCCTGAAGTGTAGGTGGGATGAAAGTGACCTGGCCGTTCAGACTGAAGTCACTTGTCAAAAGATCGGATATGTATCAGTTTTAGGAGCACATATCCAAGTGGCCTGGGTCGCATTTGAAAAAATCAGATCATTAAAAGATCAGATACAGATTGCTTTGGGGCAAAAAATCGGATTTGGGTCACTTCAGGCTGCAGTCTGAACGTAGCCTTATTGGACTTACACATCATGATCCATTTCCACCATGGCAGTTTTAAGGATCATACTGTTTTTAAGATTTTTAGAGCAAAAAGTGCATGTCTGACTAAAATGTGGATGGGGTTCTTGCCCTTTTTGACTTCGGCTCCAACTTTTTCTGTACAGACTAAGTAAAATAAGCTGTTAAATGTATTGTATTATATTATTTGGGTTGCCGTCAAGGTGGTGCACTCAGCCCTAACATGTTTTCACTATATTATAAACATTAAATTTAGCAGTTTTATAATAATAATAACACAAATTTTCAGCTTTGGATAGGTCAGACAGTCTGCACATTCACCAACCGTAATTGATTTTGGTGGAAATGCGAAACCAGATCTTTAATAATATACTGTAATACATGATAAAAACATATGTGACGTCATGCTATTTGCAGCTGACAGGTGTAGCAAGAGCCAGACCTCCTCCATAGACATTTGCGTTCACATGTTACTGCGTCATATGCGTTATACTCCATTGAGATGCAACATACATAAATATACATAGGACTGGAAACTACTGCGGACCACACACCGGCAGTGCTGGGTACGTAACAGTGATTCAGACCGTGATTCACAAGACCAGTGCTACCAGACAGAGACAGACCGTGGAGCTAACTGCGTATACAGTCGTGTACACATCACCATAGCAACCATCACGTGAGCAGGTGAGATGGGGCCGACATGCATGAAGAGGGCGGAGACGTCTACCAACACCAAATATTGATCAGAATAATAAGAATCATGAGCTGTAAAAGAAACATGTCGCTATGATGCAGTGCCAGGAAGGTCATCGTGAAAAGCTGGGATACTGAAAATTGCTGCTCCGAATATAAAAAATAAATAAAAAATCCCCAAAAATGAACGTGCAGACTTATTTGTTTTTCGTAAGGTGTAATGCTCGTCAAAAAATATTCAATGATAGATTTAGAGCGATATAGTGTCAAACTGAAATGTTCACTCAAATGTTCAAAGTAATTCAAATAATGTTTGAATCATAGACTGTATAAAGAAGTGGACTAAGGGAGTGTGACGTCGCTCATAGCGTTTGGCTCCAGTCAAATGAAGCTCACTGAGGCTTGAGGGCTCTGTTCGCGGTAGTAAGTCTGACAAAATCTAAGAAAAACGAGAAAATGGCCCAGTTTTCTTCATCTCCATGTAGGGTTCCTTTATGTTCGGCAAATCAACAATTCCAACCACACTTCAGTTTTTATAATTTTCCCACTGACGCACAACTCCGAGCGCACTGGGTACATGTGATTAGAAGAGATGAGGCACCAAATTCAAGATGATTCCAAACAGCACATACGTCTGCAGTCTTAATTTTATCGCTCATCACATTTACTTCAGTGGGTTTTATCACAGTCGGTCGGCGAGCCTACACTACACTGGAAGTTGTCATCGCGTGTTTCCAAACGTCTTACTGGTTTGTGACATAAGCGTGGATAGAGATATTTGGAGCCGAGGAATAGGAATTAATTTATGGAGAACATAGTGAAATAAAAACACCAGGATCATGTCGAGTAGCCAGGCTGGTGTCACCTACTGTCTCCGCTCAATTTCATTTCTCTCCAGCGACTAGCTCAGGAATCGGAATACACTAGACGCTTTGCAAGAACCCTGGAAGTTGTAGACCACGCACCGACCATTGAGCGAAGAGTTGTGAAGCCATGACATCAAACTCAGGTGCTTGTTTGGGTCCATTTAGTGATACAGCACAACAGTAGACAAAACGGTCGAGACGGATGTAGAGGAAGACGTACATTCTGTGTTGGCAACGATTCCCGAGATCGAGGATTTAAAGGCGGAACAAAGAGAATGTTTGGTGAATTTTATCAAGGAGAAAGGCGTTATTGCCCTTCTTCCTACGGGATTTGGGGCATTACATACGTCACGACCAAACAGCAGTGATCGGTTAAATAAAAAAATCGCTGCCTACCGTCGGGTGAACGAATCTTAATGCTGCGGGTTACATTTTCGAGCAGGTTAATACGAAGATTTTAAGATGCAAAATGATGAGGCCCACAGCAGCAGTTACATAAGACGGGGCAACGTTGCTTCAGTAGACGAGCTGAAGTCGATGGAGCCGCAAGCGCACCCATGCTCACTTCCTATTATTGTCCATTTTTGTATACAGTCTAGAGTTCGAATACATATTTGTTCATAATAACTTTTACAATAATGTGCAAATTGAAAAAAAAAGGAAAAAAAATTGTGTGTTTTAATCTATGGTCAGTCAGTCTAATCATGTCTAAAAATCTATAAATAAATAAAATTGTGCAGTATTTGAGTAGTTCTCCTTCCACAACTCATATAGCATGTAGTAGATCCAACCGGGAGGGCGGGGCAGGGCGTGTGGGTGGGTGGGTGGGGGGGGGTACGGATTGGGCGGGGCTCATGGATGACTACATGACAGGCAACATGCGACACATCGTGCAGAGACCAGACCAGAACAGGACGTGTTAAAGAGGAAGTGGACTGTACCATGCTGTCTGTAGATGGGGGGTTTTCTATAGATATTATCTTTGACCATAGTCTCTGAAGATGTAGAAGGAGAAATAATGGAAAAGCCATCATGGGAGAGAGAGAAAGAAAGAGAGAGAGAATGGAGAAAAAGAAGCATGAGTTAGCCGTTATTGGGAGATGAGAGAATCGGGAGCGAAAGTAAAAACAGGGGCAGGGTAAGGCTTAATTAAAAACAACATATATTCATTTAAAATAATCGGAAATATTATTCATGCAGCAACTTCAAAATAAATCCAGTTATAGTTGTAAATACACATTTTAGTATCAATCACATAGAATCAGATTTCAAATTCACGTTAATAAAATTACCAAAACATCATCAATGTATCAAAGTACATTGTTTGCTATGGAAACAATACAATTTTATATTATTAAATTTGCATTAAAATGAAAAAACTATACTGGTTTTACATTTATTTACATTTACTTGTTCTTAAATGTGTTTTTGTCTTAAAATGTCCTATATTACATAAAACTGACTTGTGAGCTTTAAGTCACGTTGGAAAGTTGTTACCTCATCAAAAATAGACCTGGAGTTGTGTTTTGTGTCATTCACACATATTTGAGTAATTTATTATTATTAGCTTGTCTATATCTACAAGCCCAAGATGCTCTGTTCCACCTTGTGATGTCATGAAGCATTAGTTTTAGCCCTACCTTTTACCTTTTGCTCAGAAGATTGGCAATTCCAGAGCTGAAATTATCCAAATGATTCTAATGAAGATTTATTATTATTATTATTATTATTGTTAATTACACACAACTGGGTGCGATACAACAAACATGGCTTAAACATATGTTGTCAGCAGTTGCAGGTCAGGCTAAGGGAACTTAAACACAACATATTATATAGTAACAATAATCCAATACAATAATAATAAAACGACATTAAAAATGCATTTAGGAACAGAAAAAGATGATAGCAGGGGGAGTAGAGTTCATTCAGTCTGAGAGTTAAAAAACACAGTGGAGCGCTTCCTGTATTACCACATGACATCACAAGGTGGAACAGAGTGTTTTCTGTTTGAGAGAAAAAGCCTAAATATGCAATATTTGTGTGTTAAACATGTGTGAATGAAACGAAACACAACTCCAGGTCTGTTTGTGATGAGGAAACAACATTACAACAAACATTACATCAGAATAAGAAGTAATATGGACCTTTTACTAAATAAATCCAAATAGACAGAAATAAAATTAACCTAGCCTAACCTATTAATATTTCCTTGTGGACCATTTGACAAAGACCAACACATTAACATGAAACACATACAGGATCACACATAGTAAGTCTTTGGTTTGACTTGTTTCAGATCCAGCCAATGTCTGAAACATACAAAAGCAAAATGGACAAGATATGAAACACATTATGTGGATAAGCGCTGGCTGTTTTGTTCCACTTAAAGGTGCACTATGTAACTTTTCTGGTGGGGTTATGTCTCATGGAGATGTTGCCTGGAATGTTCCGCAGTATAGCATTAAACTTTATCCGGCATTTATTCAGTTACAGTGCAAAAATACATGGACATGCATTTTTTCTCTCCACACGTCTGCTCTGTCATAACCTCGTGATTTCATAAACTTGTATCCATGTACTTAGAAAAGTTTAATGCCATACCGTGGAACATTTTCGATAAAGCAATAACATTTCCATGGGGGACAAGGACACACATCAGAAAAGTTACATGGTACATCTTTACCATATTTTCTTGACAGACATTGTTTTTCTCAATGGCAACAATGCATCACCGTATGTTGGATCACAATAATATGTTGCTTGAATTGGGGATATTTCGTTTCCTGATATTTTTTATTGATACTTCGCAGCTGAGGTCATCAACATTCCCTGGGGGTGTGATGCTAACTGAAGGCTCTGCTCTGTCTGAAGCTTGTTAGATTTTAATCTTGATCTTTATTTTAGCACAACCTAACCAGAAAGAGATGATTTATCTGGAACGACAACAGGTGAGATGATGTGTCCATTAACAGTTGTTCAGTTAGTCACTCTTACATTTATGACTACGTTCAGACTGCAGCCTGAAGTGACCCAAATTAGATTTTTTCTCCCCTATGCGATCTGTATCTGATCTTTTAATGACCGATTTTTTAGAATGCGCCACACATTTCAGTCTGACTGGCCAGGTCACATTCATCCCACCTACATGTCAGGTTCAGAGTCTAGTCAATGGAGGGAAAGCGAGATTAGCGAGTTTATTAATATTTGGGGGGATCGCTGTATTCAAGCCAAATTGGAGGAGTCTTATTGGAACTGGGCGGTTTTTGAAATTATTGCCAAGGAAATATCTGAGCGCGTCTACAGGCGGTCCTGGCTCCAATGTCAACGAAAAATAAAGAGCCTGCGAGCCAAATACAAGGAGGCTAAAGACTCAAACAAACGAAGTGGCCGTGGACGTGTAACCTATCCATTTTACGAAGAACTGGACCGTATTTTGGGAGACAAGCCCAACGTTTAGGCGACTTCATTAAACACTGAGCACGCTCCCTGCCTGTGATGTCGTCGTGTCCTCCAATGCGCATGCGGGACACTTTTGGGGCATTTAAAATTCACACTGGAGATCATACACAAGTCGCATTTAATTGGAAATGTGAACATCTTCGCAAAAAATTCGGATTTCACAAAAAAATTCGAATTGAGCCCTGCAGTGTGAACGCAGCCTATGTTGAAAATCAAACACGTAAACAAGATCGTGAATGCTTGTAATAATCACAGGCTCCTTAAAAAAACATGTTGTTTAAATCAATTTTGTAATTTTTAAGTTTTCAGACAGATTGTTTTTGACAATGTTTACTAATGTCTGCATTGCGTGTCTATGGTGAACTACTGAAAATTCCACCATAGGAACCATGTAGAACACCCCCAGCATGATGTCACTGCAAAGTATCAATAGCTCAGCGGTACTAAAATGTTATACCAACTTGATTCTTGAATACATTTTTAACTAAGTCCACTAATAACTCTGAGATCACTGCAGACTACTATGACTACAATGAGTTTTGTTTTACCTTGCGTCCCATACAGCAGCCTGCAAAGTATAAAAACAAAGCAAAAGCACTTCCGGAGCGGGTGGGAGCCGGGCAGGATGGTCGGTGCCTACCTGGTATGTGGAAATGCCTGGGTGCAGCCACGTATGTAGAGGCCGAGGAGGGGGACTTTCCATCAGAATAGGTGGATAAGCTAGGGGTACTCCGGCCACTTTCACTACCTTTAGGTCCAGAAGAGACAGAACGGCAGAACATAGAGAGGGGTGGAGGGGAGAGGGAGAGAGAAAGAGGGATATTGGGGGTGGTAAAAAGAAAAAAAAAAAGTTAGCTACCGGTACTTGGTATATAAAACAGTTCAGACCGTTTTGATTGAAAGAGTGAGTAATGTGACTTGCAAACCCAGCCATTTTAAAGCCATTTTCATTGTCAGATTTGGTGGTGGTGAAACACTTTATAGTAGTTTTTTGAGACTTTTTTGTATTAAATTGAGTAAAAATACTGAAATTAAAGGTCCTATATTTCGCAAAATGTGCTCTTGTGAGCTTTAAACCATGTTACAATGTTGTTCCCTCATCAAAACATGATCAAAGTTGTGTTTTGTTTCATTCACACATGTTTGAGTAACCCTTTATTATTAGTTTTGCTACATTTCCAAAGCTCAAAATGTTCTGTTCCACCTTGTGATGTCATGTAGTTTTCAAGTTAACAACTACTTTTACCTTTTTTCAGTAGAGAATGGAAATTCTAGGGCTGAAATGATCCAAATAGTCTAGTGAAGGTGTATGGAGTTTAAAAACACGGCAGAGCACTTCCTGTTTTACCACATGACATAACAAAGTGGAAGAGAGTCTTTTTGATTTGGGAACTCGGCCTAAATGCTACCCAGTGCTTCCGCTCAATTTAATTTCTCTCCAGCGACTAGGTCAGGACGAAGACATTCATTCTGTGTTGGCAACGATTCCCGAGATCGAGGATTTAAAGCCGGAACAAAGAGAATATTTAGTGAATTTTATCAAGTGGAAAAACTTTATTGCTCTTTTTCCTACAGGGTTTGGCGCATTACAGACGTCACGACCAAATAGCAGCGATTGGTTAAACAAAAAAGTATCGGGATATCATCGAGCGAACAAATCCTAATGCTGCTAGGTCAGACAGTTTCCACGAAGTGAAACCGGCTCATGAATAAGGCTATGATATGTAGGATTTATGTGTTAAACGTGGGCATGAAACGAAACACAACAGGTCTGTTTGTGATGAGGAAACAACATTATAACAGATCAAAAAAGAGCGTAATATGGGCCCTTTAAATTTGTTCAATCCACGTATGTATTGTGTAATAACAATACAATTTTTTCTTGTGCAATTTTCATAAGCTTGACGGTTCTTGGTTTTGACTTTTTAACCACAAGCAAAAACAACTTCGTAAAGAAAACCAGATGACTGACAATATTCACTTTTGTTGTTTGTGGATGGCTTGAACAACAGTTTGCATGGTATCCTATCATCCATTCTAGTTTTCTCAGTTTCACAATCAAAATCACTTAGTTTTGAGCGAGCTGGGTTATGAAGTCACTGTCAGTCCTTGAGTAAGTACAACACACACTGTAGATCCAGAGCTGCGAGGGAGGGTCCTGTACACAGCCCTGGGTGTAAAGTGCATGAGATCACTAACAAGGCAACACTTCAGCAATCGTTATACACACACACACATGCTTTAACACACCAAAACTGTTAGTGCACGTTGTAAATGTAGGCCAAACTTCATATAAACTGACTTAAAAGTGCATTGTGTATCTTTTTTGGTCTTGTTTCGATGGATATATCATAGAAATGTTAAATAGAAATGATAAATACATTAAAAAACAGGCAATTTATAAGGTAACTTGGTCTGGTTTGGTCTCCATGAAGACAGAAAACGTTTAATACCACACTGCAAAACAGACAAATTCACATCTCAATCGAGAAAAGTTACACAATACACCTTTAAGAATGATGATTTAAAGGGACGGTATGTAAGATTGTGATTTTTAAATTACACAAACATAACATTTTGAGGTATATATGAGGTAAACATGTTCAAATCAAATATTGCTTGCTGTAATGCTCATTTATTCTTAATTACAAATACTCTGGACATGATGGCGTAGTTGTGGATTTGGGTTGCCAGTTTCAATGCTAAAATCCAGTTGGTTTAAACCTAAAAGGAGTCTGATCTGAATCATCACTAACTAACAGGGCTGAGAATCGTAGGGTCCCTCAGAGTTCAATACGATACTCGATACACAACTCACGATACGACATGATCACGATATGGCGATACATGCGATTATCAATATATTACACATGATACTGCTGTTTTTTAAGAAAGACATACTTTTTAACAACAGTATTTCTCTACTAAAACCACTACATGTGTAAAGTTAATATTAAAACATCAAAAGTGTGTTGCATAAATAAGTTTCCTTGTACTAAATTGAAGTGTGGTCACAAAAAGATAGCTAAAAGACACCAAAAAGCACTCTTGGCGATATATCGATACACCAGTCCCCAAGATAACGATACTGTATCACCAAATTTAGTATCACGATATATTAATATTTCAATATTTTTGCATACCCCCATTAGCCAGGCTACACCCGGTTTGCAAGAACCCCGGAAGTTGTAGACTGCGCACCAGCCAATCAGCGAAGAGACGTGAAGCCATAACATCAAACTCAAGTGTCTGTCTGGGTCCCTTTTGTGGTACAGCACAACAAGTAAAGAAAGCGGTCGAGATGGATGTAGACGAAGACATTCATTCTGTGTTGCCAACGATTCCCGAGATCGGGGATTTAAAGCCGGAACAAAGAAAATGCTTGATGAGTTTTATCAAGGGGAAAGACGTTATTACCCTTCTTCCTACGGGATTTGGAGCATTACATATGTCACGACCAAATAGCAGCGATTGGTTAAATAAAAAGGTACCCGCCTACCGTCGAGTGAACAAATTCTAATGCTGCGAGGTCAGACGGTTTCCACAAAGTGAAACCTGCAGATGAATCAGGCTATACCCATCATCAATCAGTGCTACTCTAGTTTCTGCAGTTTAGTGAGTGAATTCTAGAGGTTCTGGGCTTTCCACATGAGCTTATACATATACTCAGAAGCAGACACACTTGTATGAGCAGGTTAAAGCGCTGGCAACCCATGATCAGTAAAGATTAGTTATTTTTTTTAAACAATAAAAGCGCAGGCCACATACCATACCTTTAAGATTACGACATAAAATGCATTTGAGTTATCATTTTACTTAGACGGTCCATTGAACAACTTTTACGCGACAAACTACTTCATATACACAGAGTTCTTCCACTGTGTCCAAATCCATCTGAGTCCAGTGGTGCAGTTTGTAATATACGGCTAGGACTGGCAAAGCTATTCCTCTCCTCCTCTCTTTCATCCTCCCTCTCTCCGCCTCTCCGGCCTGTCACACTGAATCTGCCCGAGAGCCCCAGTGTACGTGACTTGTGTAACCCTGCTCTACCTCATGCTTCTAATCAGACGATTCCATGCTCCAAGAATGCATATGTTAGCTCAGGGCAGTCTGCGGTGTTAGAATAGCTTTCCAAAACAGGAGAGGGCTTTCCAGACACTATACAACAACTGGCTTTAACGCATTATTCTGTGTCACTTGCAATGAAATCCAAACAATATTGAGATGTTTTTTCAGTTTCAGTTGCCATCAAACATTTTTAAAGTAACATACAAGACAAGTACAATTGACAGTATGCATGTCCTTAACTCCACTTTTAAACTGCTGGAAAACTGTCTCTAAAAATAGAAATTACATCTAAATCAAAGAAATTACAAAGCTGGGTGGTTGATTAATGGTTAAAATATCATATACTTTACATATATTAGGTAGGCCTTAATATTAAACAAGATAACCCTAGATCCTGTCCAACATTATTTCATCTTTGTAGTGTTTCTCGACCTTACGATGAGATATATTTGTATTATACTATATTTAATTTTATTTGTACATATACACTACAGGTCAAAAGTTTTAGAACACCACACTTTTCCCATTTTTTACTGTTTACTATTTACATATTCTAAACTTTTGATTGATGAAAGTGTCCACCTTTGGCAGATATAACAGCTGAACACACTCGTGGCTCATTCTTTTTACAGCAGAAATCAAATATTCTTCAGAAAGTTCTTCCCAAGTTTGTTGCAGAAGTTCCCATAAATGTGTGGCACTTGTAGGTTTCTTGGCTTTCACTTTTCTGTCCAGTTCATCCCAAACCAGCTCGATGGGGTTTAAGTCTGGACACTGTGCTGGACACTCCATGTTTTCAAGCTTTACCATCGTGTTCTTTTTTCCTGAGGTAGTTTTGGCAGAGCTTGGACTTGTGTTTTGTTATCTTTAATCTTTTTTTTTTTAACCTCTTTGTACTATTTCAAGCTCTTCATTGAACTTGCACAGCTTGAATTGCAATAAATAACTGGAAAAATGAGGGTGTTTTGAAAGGTAGTGTACATTCGGTAGGCCTTAATATGATAACCCTATATTCTGTCAGTCATTATTTCATCTTTGCAGTGTTTCTCCTTACAACCTCTTGTATATAACTGAGATATATTTATATTACTATATTTAACTTTTACTTGTACTTATGCATTTGTATAATTATGCCTTATTTGACACCAGTCACTTGTTATTTTGCTACTTATTTTGAATCTATTATTATGATTATATTTACCAAACATATTTTTATGATCATTGCTATTATATTTATTGTGATGTGTGAGCTTCTGTGTCCAAAGAATTTCCCTTGTGGATCAAAAAAGTTTGTCTAAAGCCTTATTCACACGGGATAAGTACAACCTGTGGATGTCGGGTAATTTGCAAATTACCGCCCCACCTCTTTGTTACTTGCCGCGTATAAGCGAAGTCTGTAAATAACTCTTTTACTGACGATTGAAAGAGAAAAGAACGTGGCAAGAAAAGAAAAAAGCCCTATTCGCACGGGATTAGTATGACCTGTGGACCTTTGGTGATTTGTAATAATTGCGGAGGATGCTTGAGATCTTAATCCCTTACAAATGCTCCATGTGTGTAATTTGTAAACTAAAAATTCCGTTGCAAATTACCTACTATATTTCTCCAAACACAGATGTCCGGTGATAATACTAGTCCCGTGCGAATCTGCGATCTCTTCCTTTTCTTTTCGTGTTCTTTTCTCGTTCAATCTCAGTCACTGTCAGTAAAATAGAGTAATTTACGGACTTTGCTTATCCTGTGCGAATGCGCTGCAAGTAACACAGAGGTGTGGCGATAATTTGTAAATTACCAGACCCCCCCATGTTGTACTTATCCCGTGCGAATAGGGCTAAAGATAGAAAAGGCGCACAATTACAACAACAAACAGTTGCAGACTCGCATGGGACTAGTTTTATCACCGGACGTCTGTGCTTGGCGAAATATCGTAGGTAATTTGTGAAGGAATTTTTATTTTACAAATTACAGAAGCACAGGATTAAGATCTCAGGCATCCTCGGCAATTATTACAAATTACCAAAGGTCCAGAGGTAAAACTAATCCTGAGCGAACGGGGCATAAACCTAAAATAAGGCCAATTGTAAGAGCTGTGACATACAATGGGATGTAGATACACTAGAGGTTCACTGCAAGCAAGAAGGACAAGCAAACCGATGGAATTATGAGATCTTAAACCTTGACTAAATTAAAGAGTATCAATATCACACTATACAACAACTTAACCATGCAACAACCACCATGTCCACAGACACAAGGCGAGCACAATGGGAACAGTAGTGGCCCTAAGTGTGATCCTTGAGGTGCACCATGAAACCTGACCACAGCACAATACCGCACAACGACATCACAGTACCTATAACTATAAAACAGGGGAGGGGTACACTGACTACAGAAAGACTATGGGTTACCGTTAGGAGGGGGCAAACTCAGGTGGAGAGAGTTCTTAGCTGTGGGGTCGGGTTCGGGGTCCGCTTTTAACCCTGGGGAGTCATAGAAGTTATATGGAGTAGGTACACTGTAGAAATATGCAGATCTACATTTAAATTATATGTTTTCAGTAGTATACATTAGAGTTTTTAAAATATAAAAAAGTCAGACTAGACAACTAACTATTATCAAAACTACCATCTTCCCAGTTGTCACAAGTTTTTTGCTCACTCCAAACTTTGTTTCTGCTGCTTGATTACCATTTTCAGCTGCAGATTTCACTACTTGCAGCTTGTAATTTGCAAAATGTGACTTTCTTTTTAGGGGCATTTGTGTTAAATTTTCTCAGTCCTTTTTATAAGTTCATTTAAATTTTAAAATTTCAGTGGTACAGAAATAATGGTGCGACAAGACAGAGGCTCTTTCTGCAGGAGACATGTGCAACAGATACTGACACACAAACCTAGAGCCTCTTGAGGCTGTCAGTGTGAAAATTTTTATATATAAGTCACACTGGAGTATAAGTCTCAGGACCACCCAAACCATGAAAAAAGTGCTGCTTATAGTCCGAAAAATACGGTAGTTTTGATATAAAAAGCATACAAACTGCTTTATTCATGTATTTTGTCTCGCCCCAGTACAAACATTGTATAAACAGCTCTTGAGGTCAGCATAAGTCCGCTGTGTATTGTCTGCATCTAATTATAACGTGCTTTCATGTTGGATAATCAGGAAGTGCCTGATTAGCATGTCAGTTGTTGTTAGCTCTACCGTGACGGCAAATCTTCGCTCTGATCTCTGAAAGTTGTGAAAAGCGCTTATAAACTCATTGTGGTGAAGTGAAAAATAACGTTGTCAAAAATGCTCAAATCCACCATTATTCAGAATTGAAGTCATTTTAACTCGTTCGGTTCGATTTCAGATGTGGATAGATGAAGTAAAAAAACATAAGTCTAATTGGTTTGTGATGTTAGTTTTAGGCACATGGTATCATGAAACAGACTAAGCAGTTTCATGGCTCTGGTGTGATCAAACGGCGGTCGCAACAATTGAACTCGACCCACACCAAGAAGACACTGGTCTGCATTGAGTCACTCGTCTACGGTTAACCAAAAACCCAAAGGCCACAGCCAGACTTTCCAAGACTGGGTTAATATGGTGCTTCAAACCTCGCCATGCCAAGTGACATCAGACTTAGTGCTGGGCTAGTATCACCGCACTGCAAACTCTGAGACCGATTAAGTCCAATACAGAATGTCACAGGATGGTGGCGCTATTGGGGACCCAGTGAGTATATAGCGTAAATTAACGTCTACAAAACAAAAGCGACAGGTGGTAAGGGAAGTTTAGAAACATTTGCTACCTGCTGGATGGATGCAGAAATTAAAGCCACAGTAATGTAACAGATAATACTCCCTACAACTATACAACAACTCACCCTTTTTTGCTACTTATTTAGAAATTATTTCAAGATTTATATTTTTGCTCTTTCTTATTATATTATATTGTGATGTGTGAGCTCCTGTGTCCCTTGTGGATCAACAAAGTTTGTCTAAGTCTAACTTTTCAATCAAAATGTAGACAACTTTTTTTTTTCTCATTTTGGTCATGTTTACTGCAAAACATGCATGCATGCATCTCCATAAACCTGACAGGCCTGGAGCAGTGTGGAATAGGATAAAATTGATCAATCCTCATGAAGAATGTTCCAAAGTATGGTTTTAACCAGGGAACTCAAACTCAAATTCACAGAGGGACAAAATTAAAACAGGGGACGTCGTTGGCCAAACTAAATATTTATTGAAAAATTTCAACAACAGCTGCATGTTTTCTCTTCTTTTGAGATACGTAGTATTATTAAAATAAATGTTTAAAAATATTTTTACTTAAACACTGAATCCAGAACAACCATAATATAAAATAATAACAACTCTATAGCCTGCGCCGGCAGGCAGCTCTAATACATATTTGATATGATCTCGCGGGCCAAATATAATCATATTGCTGGCCAAATTTTGGCCAAATCAGAGTTTGACATGTTTGGTTTTAACTGTCCATAGTGGAATCATGCAGGTGACATTCCACTTCCAGAAAAAATACATACTGTGCCTTTAAGTGGAGCATCCTATAATACAGAGTTATATGTTGGTAGTAAGGTGGTGAACATTCTTGTCATAAAAAAGAATGAATGACATGGTAAATATATTTGTTTTTATAAAATGAAATTAACTTCAGGCATAAATACTTTTAAGATGGGCGGCAATATAGTACAGATCTTACTTTTCACTGCTGCGTTTAGTGAGCATTTACCAAACCACGTCATTCTGATCTTAAGGAAGCTGCATTAGTGGAAAAAAAATATTTCTGTATAATTTAGGTTCTAGTTTCATGGGTCCCATATATTCTTGATTCTGTATTAGACTTGCGGTCAGCCTCAGCGTGCCTGATACCTCTGAAGTACGGGATGTAGTTGTGCTGCTGCAGCAGGGCCAGAGTGGTGGGGTTTAGGTGTAAGGCAGTGCCCCCTGGTGGTACGGGAGAGCACTTGCCACTACCGAGCCCTCCACCGGCGCTCCCCTCTGCCCCCCCACCCCCGCTGTGGTACCCGGGCAGGGAGGAGTACTTATGTCCTCCCGGGAGAGTGGGGGGTGGTGACAGGGAAGTGGTGTCACGGGGCAGGCTGCTGTATCTGCCTGTAAGGACTGTGTCTGGTCCAAAAGCTCCATTCAAGTCAAAGAAAAACATGGACACAAATTGTAATTTTTGTGCATATTACAAATATCACATTAGAATTAAGAGAGAAATTTAAAGAAAACTGTTACACAAACTTATTATATGACAAAAGCCATAATTATAACCAAAGGTGTGTAGAGTAAACAAAAACTGTGCACTATGTAACAATTCTGAGGGATTTGCCATCTGCTTGTCTCCATAAAAATGTTATTGCTTTACCACATGGTATTAAACTTTAGCCAGACTGGTGCCACCTAATGCCTCTGCTCAGTTTCATTTCTCTCCAGCGACTAGGTCAGGAATCGGAATACACTAGACCAAGGGTCTCAAACTCAAATTACCTGGGGGCCACATTAGATAAAGTCTGAGTGAGGCCTGGGCTGCATTGAGTATTCGATAAATAGCAGTTGCACGAAAAAAAAAAAAAGCCGTATGTGCACGTGTACTCGTATTAACAGATCCACTTAGACTCGTTGCTTCACAACTGCTGTAAATTGAGTTTTGGGATGTGAGTTGCGTTAATAATCTGTTGTGAATCTGCATGAGCACTGGTTGCAGCTTCATCTGTCAATGCGGCCCGCGGTAGGGGGGTGGGATTGTGCGTACATCTACCGTGGGCCGCACTGACATTATTCTTTGGAATTAAGTGGAGGACTGCAAAAAATCCTTCCGAGGGCCACAGTTGGCCCCCGGGCCGCGAGTCTGAGACTAGACGGTTCGCAAAACCCCAGAAGTGCAAGTTTGGGCACCAGCCAATTAGCGAAGAACCATACATTCTGTGTTGGCAACGATTCCCAAGATCAAGGATTTAAAGCCGAAACAAAGAGAATATTTAGTGAATTTTATCAGAGGAAAGACGTTATTGTCCTTCTTCCTACAGGATTTGGTAAAAGCTTAATATACCGGTTAACCCCGTTAGCGGCGCATTACATACGTCACGACTAAATAGCAGTGATTGTTTAAATGAAAAAAAGTACCCGTCTACCGTCGAACGAACAAATACTAACGCTGCGAGGTTTCTACGAAGTGAAACCGGCTGATGAATCAGGCTAATGAAACTTATCTATCTTGCTACAATATTACATTATGACCTGCATTTTTACACTGAGCTTGCTTTAACTTTGCACAACAAGATGGATTCTCGCAATATTTACGAGTTCACAAACTCTCAAGAATGCCCCCGCTGGTGCGATAACGCCTGACAGGTGGTGGTGGGCGATCAATCACGTCTCAGCATTGGGGTTTGTACAGAAGCCAAAGACAAAGCCCCGAAATGAATCAAAACAGACAGATGTACTTCAGTCTATTTTAGCATCAAAACAGACGCTTTTGTTTGTGGAAAACGTGCAGAAGGTAAGAGCTTTGTGCATCTGCAGACAGGAGAGATATCTGTGCTTTTCCCTCAACTGGATGTAAAAAAAAGTTTGATTTGCTTTGACGTATCAGATTCAAATAGTCATCATGATATTCCATGTTTCCTGATCTCTTTCAGTCCAGATTGATAATGTGTAGAAGTCCTAATGTGTACAGTTCAGAGTGACACGCATATCAGTCCAGTTAGGCTTGCTTCTCCTCAGATCTGACCTGTAACCTTGTTTTGTGGTTGGAGATAAATACGTTTAATGTCCCCCTTTAGAATATTTCAGGCAAAAACAACAACATGGAGACAAGCAAATTACAGTTTCCACCAGAGAAGTTTAGTTACATAGTGCATCTTTATTGAGTTGGACATTGAAATAGAAAAACACCTCAGATTTTTTTTTACCATTAATGTAATAATATAAACATGAATGGACATAAAAACTGACACATAAATTGTAATAAACCCGGTGACAATGTAGACTATGAATGATCAACATGCAGTAATAGTTGTTTACCTGGCCGGCTGTAGTTCTGTGGAGAGCGGGAGGGAGTGTAGCGTCCGTATCCCCCCAGAGAGCTGTTGGAGCTGGGGCTGGAGGGTCTCCTCTGCCTCGGAGACTTTTCCCCGTCCCCTAAACCAGAGCACAGAGACACACACGGCAGATGAGCCTAGATTAGAGACTAGATTAGAGTTAAATTATACATTAGGGATTAGACGATTTTCACCATAAACATCACAGCAATCAATATCTGGGTTAAGTTGAAAGTATCAGACACAATATTCACCATTCTCAAAATCAGCACTTACAAAATATTACGCAAGTAGAAGAATGAAACGAAAGCAAAAACACTTGAATGCACAGTTGAACAAAAATCAAAACATTCTGAATTTGAAAATTAAGAAAAATATTCAATCTCAGGCAAGGCACTTCAAAAAAAGACCAGAAATTAGTTTACTGAACACCAACAGAACAGTATACATGAATGCACATGATCACAGGCTGCACCACAGAGACAGGGTCGTACATTCTTGTGCGTTACCTCGGTGGGAGTAGGAGAGAGCAGCTGGGGGGACTGTAAATGGGAGAGAGGCTGATGATTAAAATTCATAGTTGGATCAGAGTCCTGCACCGGGTCGGGTACAGGTAAGGGCAAATAGGTGCTGAAACAGGTGGGTTTTAACGTGACGGTAAAAGGATTTTACTACTGTTTGGTCAATATGTCACCATTTGTCATCCAATTGCGATGTTTCTTCTCACAATAACTGAAATACCCCCAGCCCCCTCCCCACACACATATCCCCTTCATATTATTTTTGATAATAATAATGATACAGATTGTTTCAAATATTAATTTTATGGACATAAACTATATAGCAGGGGCCTTCAGGAGTTAAAATACCGGAACTGCAAAAACATAAATGAAATGTCTTGAATTGGAAAAAGGCAGGTGTACTAGTACAGCGGCAATACAAATCAATCCTAATTATGTATCTTCTTGTTTAAAGGTGCAGTGTGTAACTTTTCAGATGCAGAGTTAACCACCTACTTGTCTCCATAAATATGTATTGCTTTACGTGAAATATTCCAGTGTAGCGCATTAAATTATTGCTCAAAAATGCTTCAAAAAACATTCATTTGCTGGCTCACCTAACTGCAGATACTTTAAAGAACTATAAAAAAAACTACTATAACTTACTATAAAAAACTTGTAAATTGTTTCTATAAAGATAAATCAATTTATTACCATACTGTGGAACATTCCTGGCAAAAACTTATCTTGTCTCTCCATATCCACTTCATATTATTTTTGATAATAATAATGATACAGATTGTTTCAAATATTAATTTTACGGACATAAACTATATAGCAGGGGCCTTCAGCCTGTAGCTCTCCACCCTTTTCCACGTAGCCCAAGTCATCCACTGTAATCACCATTGTAAACCATAATTTTGAGGTCTAATGTTGTGCACTAATAATGGATGATGGGTTCATAGGCATGTAACTGTTCTCCATCTTAAGCTCGTCGTGGCTCAGTTTTTTGCAACTGCTAAAATTTGTATGTCTTTGGCATTTTTATTTTCTTAAGGGAGCTCACCAGAGGAAAAAGGTACGAATCTCCTGCTATATAGATTTTTAATGACTGACATACACATGGGCGGGTCAGGACTAAATCAGGATTAAACCAGGACGACACCAGGATCTGCGGTGGTCCTTTCTTCTACGGTCACCCGATGGTCTACACAGTGAGGCTTGGTTCAGTTCTGGTTTAGTACTGGTTTAGTCCTGTTTCAGTCCTAGTTCAGTCCTGGTTTATTACTCCTGGTTCAGTCCTGGAATCAGACATGGGTAAATCCTGGTTTAGTCCTGGTTTAGTCCTGTTTTAGTCCTGTTTTAGTCCTAGTTCAGACCTGGTTTATTACTCCTGGTTCAGTCCTGGAATCAGTCTTGGGTTAGTCCTGGGTTAGTCCTGGTTTAATCCTGGTTTAGTCCTGTTTTAGTCCTGTTCTAGTCCTAGTTCAGTCCTGGTTTATTACTCCTGGTTCAGTCCTGGAATGAGTTCTAGGTTAGTCCTGGGTTAGTCCTGCGTTAATCCTGGTTTAGTCCTGTTTTAGTCTTGGTTTAGTCCTAGTTCAGTCCTGGTTTATTACTCCTGTTTCAGTCCTGGAATCAGACATGGGTAAATCCTGGTTTAGTCCTGTTTTAGTCCTGTTTTAGTCCTAGTTCAGGCCTGGTTTATTACTCCTGGTTCAGTCCTGGAATGAGTTCTAGGTTAGTCCTGGGTTAGTCCTGCGTTAATCCTGGTTTAGTCCTGTTTTAGTCTTGGTTTAGTCCTAGTTCAGTCCTGGTTTATTACTCCTGTTTCAGTCCTGGAATCAGACATGGGTAAATCCTGGTTTAGTCCTGTTTTAGTCCTGTTTTAGTCCTAGTTCAGACCTGGTTTATTACTCCTGGTTCAGTCCTGGAATCAGTCTTGGGTTAGTCCTGGGTTAGTCCTGGTTTAGTCCTGTTTTAGTCCTGTTCTAGTCCTAGTTCAGTCCTGGTTTATTACTCCTGGTTCAGTCCTGGAATGAGTTCTAGGTTAGTCCTGGGTTAGTCCTGCGTTAATCCTGGTTTAGTCCTGTTTTAGTCTTGGTTTAGTCCTAGTTCAGTCCTGGTTTATTACTCTTGTTTCAGTCCTGGAATCAGACATGGGTAAATCCTGGTTTAGTCCTGGTTTAGTCCTGTTTGAGTCCTGTTTTAGTCCTGTTTTAGTCCTAGTTCAGACCTGGTTTATTACTCCTGGTTCAGTCCTGGAATCAGTCTTGGGTTAGTCCTGGGTTAGTCCTGGTTTAATCCTGGTTTAGTCCTGTTTTAGTCCTGTTCTAGTCATAGTTCAGTCCCTGGTGTAGTCCTCCTGGTTCAGTCCTGGAATCAGTCCTAGGTTAGTCCTGGGTTAGTCCTGGTTTAGTTTTGGTTCAGTCTGCGGCGTGTGCGGTGCAAAAGTCCAGCATCTCGATTAATGTTTCTTCTGCTCAGTAAATAAAGCCCGTGAAGTGATGACAGTCGAGTCGCGTCTGTGAATTTGTATTTGTGCTGAAGAAAGCGTAAACTTTTCATTTCATTTCGTGATTGTAATTCTTAATTTTGTAATTGTCTTAACTTTAATTTGTATTCTGATAAACACTTCAGTTAGAATGCTCTTAATCTGTGTGTTTTATCTCGGGCACAGGTGAGGGTTTAACTCTGATATAATCACGGGTTAACGTGTGGGTGTGGTGCTGTACTGTGTAGGTCTCCAAAAATGGACCCTTGCAGGACTCTGAGGTGGATATGGATCTAAGGTATTTTCACATATCTGTCAATATCAAAAGCAGCTCTCTGATTGGCTGTCTTCTAAAGCCTGACAATTAACGCATGGATATTGGATGTTAACAATGTTTTATGAGGTTAATGATCTAAATACTTCCTCTTTTGGCTTTGTGAAAATCATGTACACCGTCTTTAATAAAGCAAAATAACAAAATGGCAGCTAACCTTGTAGTTTAATCTTCTATTTAACCTTCTATACACTACTTTATTCTACCTCACCTACTTTTACTTTTTCTGACTGCTACTTCATTGTGGTTGGAACTTCCAGTTAAGTGGGAATTTGATTCATTTCAATAGAGAAACTAAACAAAAATGTTGTAACTAAAATGTGACATTAAAACAGAATGATCAGTGTCCTGAAGTTGTCAAAAACAGACCTACAGTTGTGTTTTGTTTCATTCACATGTTTAACACCCAAACCCAGCGTATTTAGGCTGAATTCTTCTCTCAAACTGAAAACACTCTGTTCCACCTTGTGATGTCATGTGGCAATACAGGAAGCGCTCCACCGTGTTTTTAAACTCCATACACCTTCACTAATTTCACTAATTTCAGCCCTGGAATTGCCAGTCTCTATTACCACTACTACTTTACCGACTTGCCAAAGCCTGATCCTGAGAAGTTAAGCAAGTCCGGGCCTGGTTAGTACTTGGATGGGAGATCACTGGGAAAATCAGACGCCACATGGGGGCGCCAGTCGCAAAAGCTGTCGTTGCGTCCTTAGGCAAGGCACTTCGCCCACATTGCCTAGTATGAAAGTGGTGTGTGAGTGTTGGTGGTGGTCGGAGGGGCCGATGGAGGTCCAGAAAAGCGAATTATTATTACTAAACAAGCTTCATGACATCACAAGGTAGAACAGAGCATTTTGAGCTTCGGAGATGTAGACAGACTAATAATAAAGTTACTCAAACATGTGTGAATGAAACAAAATATAGAACCTTTGATCATTCTGTCTTATAACCATGCACAAGGACCGTCAAGGTATCTTAGACATCTTTGTGTTTTTTGCAAAGCTAGTGAAAATAACTAGTGCATGGCAGGCCTTGTTGGAGGGCGTGTGAGTCAACATTGGCCCAGGTGTGCTCGTGTCAGGTGTGGGTGAGCTCATGATATACTGTACGGAGGGGGGAGATCACAGTCTAGTTTACGCGCTCAGGGCTACAGGTCTGCGGCTGCACTACAAAGCTTTGGATGTGCTGACACTGGTGATGAATGGAGCGCGGTGAAATGACAGAAAAATGAAGGCAAACAGCTGTGACAAGTGTGAAGGATTTGTCCCCTCTGGAGTTAAAATACCGGAACTGCAAAAACATAAATGAAACGTCTTGAATTGGAAAAAGGCAGGTGTACTAGTACAGCGGCAATACAAATCAATCCTAATTATGTATCTTCTTGTTTAAAGGTGCAGTGTGTAACTTTTCAGATGCAGAGTTAACCACCTACTTGTCTCCATAAATATGTATTGCTTTACGTGAAATATTCCAGTGTAGCGCATTAAATTATTGCTCAAAAATGCCTCAAAAAACATTCATTTGCTGGCTCACCTTTCTGCAGATACTTTAAAGAACTATAAAAAAACACTACTATAACTTACTATAAAAAACTTGTAACTTGTTTCTATAAAGATAAATCAATTTATTACCATACTGTGGAACATTCCTGGCAAAAACTTATCTTGTCTCAGTCTAAGTCTAAGACTATGTTCAGACTGTAGCATGAAGTGACCCAAATCAGATTTTTTCACCCCTATGCTCCTGTATCTGACCTTTTAATGACAGTCTGAACGACACAGATCCGATTTTTTTCAAATGCGACCCAGAACACTTGGATATGTGCTCCTGAAACCGATACATATCCGATCTTTTGACATGTGACTTCAGTCTGAATGGTCAGGTCACATTCATCCCACCTACACATCAGGCTCAGAGTCTAGTCAATGGAGGGAAAGCAAAGGTTAGCGAGTTTATTAATATTTGGGGGGATCGCTGTATTCAGGCCAAATTGGGGGGGGTCTTATCGGAACCGGGTGTTTTTTGAAATGATTGCCGAAGAAATGGTCGAGCATGATTACAGGCGTCCTGGATTCAATGTCAACGAAAAATAAAGAGCCTGCGAGCCAAATACAAGAAGGCTAAAGACTCAAACAAACGACGCATCTGTGGACGTGTAACTTGTCCATTTTACAAAGAACTGGACCGTATTTTTTGAGACAAGCCCAGCGTTTAGGCGGCTTCCGTAAACAATGAGCACGCTCGCCGTGTGTGACGTCATCGTGTCCTCCAGTGCACATGCGGGACACTTTTGGGGTGTTTAAAGTTCACACTGGAGATCACATACAAGCCGCATTTAATTGGAAACGTGAACGACTTCGCAAAAAAATCGGATTTCACCAAAAAATCCGAATTGAGAATTAAGCCCTGCAGTCTGAAGTCTAAAACATCTCCGTGGAGCAGGTGGCAGACTCTCCACGACAAAAGTTACAAAGAGTACCAGTAAAACAGTTTAGGGAAGAGAGATTTGAAACGTATTTTTAACACACTATTTGATTCCTGCACGACCTACATGTAACAGTCAGACAATCACAGAACAACACAGTAGACACATGTACCTCTCCGTAGTGTCTTTCCTCAGACGGGTAGCTCACATAGGGGGAGTAGGAGAGCATGTCGGGTCTGTCAATGTTGTAGATCGCCTTGGTCTTTGGAAGAGCGGCCAGATCTTTGTAGTCCAGCATCTCCTCTCCTAGTTTGGCCTGGAACGAGAAAAGAAGAAATGGTGAGGCAGAGCTGTAATAAGAAATCACATTTTAATCAAATCAGGATATAATAATGTAAAATCCAAAATGATATGTCAGTAAAATAATGTGGTTTGGGGCAAAATTCAGACGTCAGATGTATAAATTTGACATAATTTTTGCGCTGTATTGCCCAGATTCAAAGGTTATCTTGTGTTGTGTTTAAGATTGAAAACCACTACCTCTTGTTCAAGAAAGTGTGGGAGCAGTAATGAAAAAGTTCTCCCTATTTATTTATTTATTTTGCATGTATAACATAACAATAAAAAAAAAACACACACACACACAAAAACCAACCCAAATATTAATATAAAGGCTCCATCTAATAAACACATACTTTTTTTTTACATTATCATTGTGCATTAAAAAAATAAATAAAAAATTACATTCAAACACCTTGGATTAAATTAATTTCATTCAAACATGGATTAAAATACAATGAAACATCCACAATTGAATGATTATCAAGCACTATCATGAAATATCAAACACTTTCTCACACTCTTTTTAAGAAACGCCGCCGCTATTTCTATTCTATTTCAATTCTATTTCTTTACCGCACAATTTTGAGACACTGCACCTCGGGATAAGGCCTGTTCACCTTATAGAACATGAGAAAAAATATATTTATAATATACTACTGGCTGCTGGAAAGAAGTGTATTACAAGAAGATGGCTCAGGCTACGTTTAAATGATGACGTCTGAACAGAAGATGCAAAATTGGCGTCGCGTCTTCACTTTTTATTGACGAGTGTTTTCGGGAGGAAATCTGCGCGCATACGGTGAGGCAAGAGTTTGTGAAATTCAACTGGGTATGCATGCCCGGTTTGTGTGTACTCTATGTGACATAAACACGTATGTGACCTGAGCAGATCTGATCAAAGTTTTGTGTCTTGGGCAGTGTGAATGGAAACACTACGGCGGAGCGTATTCAACTTTTCTACTCTGGAGGGTGGTTCAAATTTTTGCATTTTTAAGTCCCAAAAACATCGTCACCATCTAAACGAAAGGAACTTCCAATAAAATATTTTGTCGTTTTTACCTGCAAGTGTTCTCGTATAAAGTTCCTTGCCTTGAGGATTGAATAATGTTGTGAATTTACTAGTTACGTAATGGAAAAACTGACATTTTATATGAGACTTGACTCTGACAAATTTGACAATTATTGGAAAACTTGGAGAGTGTTTTGTGCCCCGTTTAGATCAGATTTTCAGAACTGAGTGTGATCTGATGAAACCATTGTATTTTTATTTATTAATATAGATGTTTTATTATTATTACTTTTATTATTACCAAGCTTTTTTTCTTTCTTTCTTTTTTTTTCTAACAAGCTTGATAATTCTTGTAATACATGTGCGGTGACTTTGTTTATTTTTTGGAAAAGTAGAAAGGAGACTGTACAATATAGAATCTTCCTTTGTTCCCAGTAAATTTTAATTAAAAAAAAAAAAAAAAAAAAAAGATAGAAAACCACATTTGAAGCCATATTTATTTGTTTTGAAATTGAAATTGAATAAAAAATTGGGATCATTCAGACCAAGAAAAGCAAAAAAAAAAAAAAAAAAAAGGTAAGCAAATGTATTATGTTGAAAATGCTATGTTTACGAAAGTGAGATATCAGTGCCCTCTAGTGGTGAGTGTGAGTGGTGCAGGCTTACATAGATGACTCTGTTGGGCGAACCCGAGGCGCTGGAGGCCGGCACTGAGGTAATGCTCTCAGATGAAGTCCTGGTCACCTGATACACAAAGTACAAATACACAAAGACTTCAAAGAGCGGAAGTAACAGATCTGATAGGACGAAGTAGTGCAGTCTGTCAACACCAACGCAATCGAACAAACTAACGAGTGACACAGTATGAATAAATAACACATCACCTCATTAAAAAAAAAAAAAAAAAAAAGTGTAGAATGTCAACAACTGTGATTTCAGAAGATTCTGCTGTGTCCTTAAATTGGTCAGTAAGATTAAAAGCCATCAAATTGAAAAAATTTCGCAAAATCTGCAAATCTTTTCATCAAACCTTGTGATTATTGGTGCACTGTTGGCATGCTAATTGTCATTTTAAACTCATCGCAGCGAATAATTAGTAAAATCAAACAATTTCTCATTGTAGTTCACATTCTTAAGATGGTAAAAAATGTATTTAAAAAGTACAGCACCTATATCAAACCCAAAGTCTTAATCAGTGACTAGCAAGTATAAATACACACATGGTTAAAGTGCGTATGACAGGTTTTCTCCAATTTTTACATTATTTTGTGGGATAATATCTGATAATCAGTAAATATACTTGATTATTTGATACTGATGAAGAAGCAATTTGTGAAAAATACAGGAAGTAGAGAGTTGCATACTAATTACTTCACACTAGGGAGAATTTTATCTAAAAGTTCGGCACAATTGACATTTTTCACAACGGCCAGAAGTGCCTCTTTGTAGGTTTGCAGGACTTCAGGTTAATGCTTTTCTATGGCGAAATATCTGTGGAAATGTCTCACGTATTTTCCACCAGCTTCATAAATCTGCCCCATCACCAAATCTTCATCCAACAAGGTCGACAAAGGACATATTCTCTCTATGAAGAATTTATCCACAACTATCAAGGTAAGAAAGACGAAAACGTAAAGGCGAACAACGACGGCGCATTAGTGAACTACTGAGAAGAACTAACATTATGGTCATGAATAAAACAGAAGTAATAAGTAATTCATTAAAAAGTAACTTGTTACTCAGACTGACTCTAGAATAAAATTACAAAACTGATTTCATGATGTAGATAGTATAAAGATATGATATGTATAAATATGGTATTTGCCAAGAAGAATAAATAAATGAATGAGTTTTTAAAATTTTGCATTTTGATGTGAGTAATTGTAATTGCATCTTTCCAAATGTCTTCCTGGTTTGTGACGTAAGTGTGAATAGAGCCTACACGGGCTAGTGCAAGAGCTGCTAGAGCTGAGCTAGAACGGGCTCAGAGCAGGGCTAGGCTAAGTCTTACAAAACAAAATTTTAGGCGCTTTGAGGATTTAAATAAAAAAAAAAAAAAAAGATTATTTTGTGAAAATAGAAAAGAATCCCTACAAAATCCAACCTTTGTGAAAGTTGTCAATGTCCTGTCAGCAGAACACGGGCAGTTTGAATTCACAAAAAATGTATTTTGCTTCTACGGGAGAATTCTTTCTGGACCCAAGCTCCAGGAGCTGCAGTACCTGGAGCGGCCACTAGTTGGACTCGAGCCGAGACAAACGGCCTTGCCTGCCTTATCCAGATTTTATTATAGATCCATGAGTTCAACCTGTCATGGGCACTTTAAATGTAGCAAACAAGCACAAAAGTCCAAACATGTCAGAGATGCAGTGAGGTTGTTTTCTTGTTGACAAAAAAAAAAAAAAAGTGAAGAAGAGAGAGCAGAGTCCTGCACCGGGCCGAGTACCCACAAATAGTTGCTGAAACAAGCAGGTTTTAACATTTTGGAATTTTTCGGACAGGTATGTGAGTCGGTACTGATTACACACGATCGTGTCAGGTGAATCAAATGAATGATGAACGGGAGAAAAATACTTGACGTGTGTCCTTCCTGGACAAGTCAAGTCCATTGCCCTGGAAACAAGTGTCATTTCCCTGGTCTTTTCCTGGAACAATGGCAGACCAGGCTGAGAGAGACTTTTTATTACATAAACACATCAGCTGAAGTGAACAGCTCGGTGGCTGTGCTCCTGGTTTAAGTCCTGGTTTAGTCCTGGTTCAGTCCTGGTTCAGTCCTGGTTTAGACCTGGTTTAGACCTGGTTTAGTCCTGGTTTAGACCTGGTTTAGACCTGGTTTCGTCCTGGTTCAGTCCTGGTTTAGTCCTGGTTTAGACCTGGTTTAGACCTGGTCCAGTCCTGGTTTAGACCTGGTCCAGTCCTGACGATCAGCTCTGCGGTTATGGTGTGTATATATTTTATGCTAATGATACTGTTTCAGTCCTGGTTTAGTCCTGGTTTAGACCTGGTTTAGTGCTGGTTCAGTCCTGGTTTAGTCCTGGACTATTGGGCTGTCAGACTAATGTGCTAACCCCGATTTATCACAGGCACGGGTTGGGGTAATGGGTGGAATGTTAACGGGTCCGGGCGGGTGATATAATCTCGGGTTAACAGGCGAATGCGTTGCTGAACTGTGCGGGTCCCGGGTCTCCAAAAATGGACCTGTGCAGGACTCTGTTCACAACATTTTTCGCAATTCAAATATGTTTTCTTTTCTCCGCTGTATGCATTAAAAAATCACTAACCCATTCTGAAAAGTCAAAATGTCCACCTTCAAACCTTTATTAAATTGTGTCACTATTAGCATCTCATTCAAACCCTGTATCCAGAGTTAGCAGCAGCACATGCAGCACGTCGTGAGGAGCATTAGCATTAGCATTAGCATTAGCTGCGGCACGCTCAGAACACGAACCAACCTCTTGATCACGGATGTCATTGAGCTGTATCCGCACCTGCTTCTGGGGAAAAACGTCAGCGATGAAGAAGGCAGTGGTTTAAGCTCGCAAATGTATGAACCGTAAGCTAAAGCATGCGTCCAGATCCAGGTGCTTTATATATCGAGAAAATTAACTCTATAGTACTTTTTTTTTTGGGTTCTTTTTGGCACTTTTCTACCCACCTTGCTCTTCTCTTCTTGCTTGGCGGCTTGTCTGCACGGAGGATGCCAGATTGAGTTCCCTACAGACACAAATGTGAACAAAACTCATTAAAAAACATTAACATTTAATCAACACATTTAAATTGAAGTCTAATGTTAGTTGTGGAGATGTTTTGCCAATAAAACTTTATGAAAATCTTGCACTCAATGATGTCAGCTAACTTCTTTGTGTATTTCATGCTGTAGCGATATTAGATACAGTTGTAGAATATAAATGCAAATATATGAGTTAAGTTTTTGTTTTGATTACTTCTTATAAATACAGTATATGATTACCGTATTTTTCTGACTATAAGTCGCACTTTTTTCATGGTTTGGGTGGTATTGCAACTTATACTCTGGTGCGACTTATATGTTAAAATTTTCACACTGACAGCCACGAGAGGGCGCTGTAGGCCTGTGTACTCATGTACCACTGTCACTTCACTCTGCTGCACATGTTGGCTGCAGAAGAAAGAGAAAGAGCCACTGTCCTGTCTGTATCATGTCAGACGATCGCGCCATTACTTCTGTATCACTGACAATTTTAAATTTAAACAAACATAAAGACAAATGAAACCATCCTGTCAGGATTCTGAAAAGCCAGAATAATTCTAACTGGAACTGATGCTGAGTCTGATGACAGCGACACAGAAGAGGAAGCGTCGCTCTGTTTACCTCCAGAGGTCACAGAGTTGCTCAGAAGTGACACCGAGGATGAAGAATTCAATGGATTTAGAGATTTGGAGTGAGATGGAGAGTTTGGTAAACTTGTTCTCTTCTGTTGTTTATGTTATAATTATCTGAAGAACTGTTCATATGTGACGTTAACAGTCTGTTGGGTTAGGGTTAGATTATGAGATTATTACTAGAACTTGACTTTCAACATGACATGTCGGTTCCTGGTCTCTGATTTTATAAAATAAATTCCCCAAAAAGTGCGACTTATAGTCTGGTACAACTTACATATGCTTTTTTTCTTCTTCATTACAATTTTTTTGGCTGGTGCGACTTATACTCCAGAACAGCTTATAGTTAAAAAATACGGTATATGAGTTTACAAAATCTGTGGTAACAGATTTTTTATCAAATAAAAAATCAAACGCACACCAAGGTTCTTGTAGAGGTGTAAATGCAAGGAACAGTAAAATAAAATTGAAAAATGCATAGCACACTCAAATGGCCGATGTCCAAAAGCTTTTTTTATTTTTAAATAACGTTTTGGCAAAAATAGCCTTTGTCAGTATAGTATAGTACAGTACAGTACACTGTGGTCCCTGTGGCTTTGTGGGTTATTTAAAAATAAAAAAGCTTTTGGACATCAGCCATCTGAGTGTGCTATACATTTTCTCACTTTTATAATAGATTTTTTTCAACAAAAAATGACTACACCAGTGTTTCACATTCATTTTTACCCCCACAAAAAGGTGATACAAATGATACTTGACGAGGGTGATCAGAATTTCAAAATCAAAAACTGGGACACGCTCGGTTTGCGGTGGTTGGTAATAATAAATTGTGAAACGAGTATGTAAGGAAAATTGTTATGCACTTGGTGAGTCAGTATAGTCACATTTACTTTGTGTTTTGGTCATTTTTAATCAGATTTTCTGTATTTTACCACTAATAACAATGTATGCCTCCAGATTGGTCAAAAATTCCTGGGACATTTTTCATATAAAAATTTGACAAATCACTGGTTTTGGATAAATCAGGGCTCAAAACTGGGACTGTCCTGGGTAAACAGGGATGTCTGATCACCCCAAACTTGACAGATGTAGTGGTGTTATGAACATATACTATAAAAATATGGTAACTATATTGCTTGATTTCAGATGACATAAAAACATTTTATAGGCCAATAATATTAAAAACAGATGTGGGTCAACTAAAATTAATATTGTTATGCAGGTTTTTATTCTATTACAGTGAGTTCTTGGGTCTTGTGTCTTATTCACAGGTTCAACATTTGATCAGTCTTATGAAAAGCAACAACTACAATCTGAAAACCACTGATTTAATTTGTAATCTGTGCTTTTTTTTATTTTTTTATCACTGGGGGCAAGGATTATGACATGTAAGCTCCAAAAAATGTGCCACCAGTCTCAGTCTCAGTCTCAGTCTCAGTCTCAGTGTAAACCTGTGGGAAACGCTGTCTTACGTTGGGTTTGGTTTCTCTTTGGCTTTGGTCGTAGATTGTGAGGTGTGTGTTCTTACCTTGCAGGTACATCTCCTCTCCCTCTGCAAACATGAGCTCACAGCGGGCACAGCGGGCACATGTGGGGTGGTAATGCTTCTCTCCAGCCTGGGGACAAAAACAGTAGGTCAGGATAAAATGGAAACTATATATATGTGTGTACAGTTTAAAAGTATACAGGCAACAGCAGGTATGTATTTAACATGTTATAACTACACAACATGGACTTTTTTTTTTTACAATTGCATTTTGAAAGGTACATTATGGAACCTGGTTGTGTACATGTGAAGTCATGACATGTTACGGGTCAGATCTGTGCAGAGGTGACCCAGATTACTGTAAGAATGCATGTTTTCAAGGTATTTTCGAGCAACAAAAACACCTGTCATTCGATAAATTCAACATAGATACACGTTTAATACCGTACTGTGATGCAGCGCACGATATCGATACTGTATCATCACATTAAACGATACGATATATTGATATTCATCCACCTCATGTTGTTTTAAATTGCTGTTATACTTCACTGTTGGCGTATTTTTGTATTCTACCCCACAGGACTTTATATATTTCCGTGTCTTTGGTGCATGTTTGAACTGAGCCGTTGTTTAGTGACATTTGCTGAGTCAGTGTGAGGAGCGGCTCTGTGGAGAGGCAATGGGCCGTTTCGAATACACCATCCAATTAGTGTTCAAGCGCTACACAAGACTGCACACGGGCTGCTGTTTCACACTCCTGCCAAAAGGTGGAGCCCTTGTGCAACATTCGAAACATACAGCAGCCAAACTAGGGACAGACTGATCCAGAACATGCAAGAACATTCATCAACTTTCCCTGCAGTGTGATGCAAACTGGAGGCACAGCTCGGTCTGAAGCCTGTCTCAACTTAATCTGAATTATAAACATTAATCTGAATTTTATTTTAACACAATCTGACCTTAAAAAACAGACTTAGCTGGAAGTAGAACAGGTGAGCTGATTTGTGCAGATAAACAAGTCGCACTGTTTTTTATGTTAGTCACTATTGAAAATAAAATACCTCACAGGATCACAAATGCTCGTACTGATTAAAAATTAGACAATCTAAAAATGTATTTGGCAATGCAATGAAAAAAAACAATATCTAGGTAAGTTAAAATGACTTAAATTAAGAACATTTGACTTTATTTGAGTGGATTGAACTTGACAAGTAAAATTATCTACCAATCAAATAAGAGCAACCTTTGATTTTGTTTCTTATTTTAGGTGCAAAAACTTGTTCTTTTTCTTATTTTTAAGTGTAGCCAGATGTGTTTTCATATTTTAAGTACAAAAAGTCTTATTTCATTGGTGGATACTTTTACTTGTCAAGTGAAATTTACTCAAATCATGATCAAACTTTGCAAATTTAAGACATCTTAACTTGACTAGATTTTGTTTTTTTTTGCAGTGTGTTGCATGTTGGGATGGTTGCACAGTTTTGATAAGGGGTTTGATATCGATGGTCACCTGGGTTAGTCTGATTCATCAGCCGGTTTCACTTCGTAGAAACTGTCTGACCTCGCAGCATTAGGATTCATTCACTTGACAGTAGGCGGGTACTTTTTTAATTAACCAATTGCTGCTATTTTTTCGTTATGTAAGCTTTTCCTAAATCCCGTAAGAAGAAGGGCAATAACGTCTTTCCCCTTGATAAAATTCCCCAAACATCGACTTTGTTCCAGCTTTAAATCCTCGATCTCGGGAATCGTTGCCAACACTGAATATATGGCTCTTCGTTGATTGGCTGGTGCCAGAACTCACATTTCTGGGTTTTTTGGGAACTGTCTTGTGTATTCCAATTCCTGACCTCGTTGCTACACCCGGGTATCAATTTACCGACAGTGTTACAGAAGTCTAATATTTGCACACAAAAACACGTGTCAGTCTGTACTCATTTATTTATATTTTGTGACAGTGTTTGTATCGTTAGTTTTCTGTTGTTTTTTTTGTGTGTGTGTGTGTTTGTGTATTGTATTTGTCACTATATGGCGTCTTAAAACTTCACAAAATGAATAAATAAATAAATCATTTGGCAGTTGTTCTCTATGTGTGTATTGTGTCACCGTGGTAACTGCCGAACATACGTCATAGACTTACTGTACATGCAGGTCCCTGTAATAAAATCTAATCCTTATGTACTGTACTGTGTAATATCAACGGTGTTTTAGCACAGTTAAAGGTGCATTATGTAACTGTCTATACTGAGATGTTATTGCTTTGGTTGGAATGTTCCACAGTAAGACATTAAACTGTTTCTATCACCATGGAGAGGCTCCCCCGCTCACTGTAAGAATGCATGTTTTTACAGATAATTGGAATAATTTCAATCAATATATCTCTATGAAAACATGCAGGTGAACCAGAAAAGTTACAGAGTGCACCTTTAAAAAAGAGTTAATACATTTTTCAAGCTTTCAAGCCTTTTCAAGCTACTTTGAGTTGGAGGTGGTGTACATAGGGGTATGCATAAATACTGAAATATCAATATATTGTATTGTTTAATTTGATGATACAGTACTGATATCGTGGGCTGCTGTATCACTGTATTGTACGAGTATTTTTAGACATATTTTACTCAATTATTTTATATAAGAGCTACAATTATGGTGACATTTTCACTGTTTTGATGAAAAACACAAATTTAGTGGACTTAGTAGAATCAGTACAACCAGGCTGTTGCCACCTAGTGCCTCCACTCAATTTCATTTCTCTCCAGTGACTAGATCAGGAATTGGAATACACTAGAGGATTTGCAAGAACCCTGGAAGTTGTAGACCTCACACTGGTCCATAAGAGAAGAGCTGTGAAGCCATGACATCAAACTCAAGCGCCTGTCTGGGTCCCTTTTGTGGTACAACACAACAGTAAACAAAGCGGTCGAGATGGATGTAGACAAAGACAGACATTCTGTGTTGGCGACGATTCCTGAGATCGAGGATTTAAAGACAGGGAATGTTTGGTGAGTTTTATCAAGGGGAAAGACGATTTCACCGTCGGACCTCGCAGCATTAAGACTCGTTCGCTCAACGGTAGGTGGGTACTTTTTTATTTAACCAATCGCTGCTGTTTGGTCCTGACGTATGTAATGCACCGTTAACAGGGCTAACTGGTATATTAAGCTTTTCCCAAATCCCGTAGGAAGAAGGGCAATAACATCTTTCCCCTTGATAAAATTCACCAAACATTCTCTTTGTTCCGGCTTCAAATCCTCGGTCTCGGGAATCGTTGCCAAGACAGAATGTATGGCTCTTCGCTGATTGGCTGGAGCCTGAACTCGCACTTCCGACGTTCTTGCAAACCATCTAGTGCATTCTGATTCCTGACCTAGTCGCTGGAGAGAAATGAAATTGAACGGGGGCATGGCTAAGATGATATTGCCCTTACATATATCACGACTAAACAGCAGCGATTGGTTAAAGAAAGAAAAGTACCCGCCTACCATCAACCAAACGAATCCTAATGCTGCGAGGTCAGACGGTTTCGAATAGATCTTGAAATATATTGTATTGAATTGAAAGTGCACTGTATTGAAAAATGTATTGTGGCCTTTGTATCGAGGTATGTATCGTGTCGCCAACTTCTTAATGGTACCCAGCCCTAGTTTACATCCTAGACAACTGCCAGTTAATTCCAAACAGGATTATCATTTGCTGTGGACACTTCACTTCATCTATAATCTGAATCTGGGCTTGAGTTCGCATCAAAGGTGTTGGTGACATTGAGCAGTGCCAACGGGAGGCGTGCTGCCAGTAACTGAAAAGTCCTCCTTCAACACTCCAGACCTGTTCACAATGAGGTGACAGAGTCCATATAAGCCTGCAGCCTGTCCGCCGCTTGGCCACGTTTGCATGAATAGCAACATTGACTTTCAAATGATCAACACTAATGAACGCTTGTGTAGACTCACCCGGTCACAGCTTAAACTTTCTGGTGTGGTAATAAAGTTTGTATATTTGAACAAGTTAACAGAATGAGGTTAAAAAGTCGGGCTTAAAACGATTTGCAATGAAACAGATGTTGAGCATTTATACGAGTGTTTATATGTGCAAGCAAGTGAAGTCTTTTTTATTTCTTATCTTCTATTTTATTTTGACTTGAACATTACATTTATATAATTATGTCTTATCTGACACCTGTCTCTTGATCTTTTTTGCTACTTATTTAGAATTTATCATTACCGTTTATATTTTTTACTCTTTGTTATTCTATTATATTGTGATGTGTGAGCTACTGTGTCCAAATAATTTCCCTTGTGGATCAATAAAGTCTATAAATTGATTTTTACAATATCAACTATGGAAATACATTTTTATCAACATGAAATTACTGTACAAGTGTTTTTTCATTCCCACAAAAAGGTGATATAAATGATAATTGACTAGGGTGACCAGAATTTCAAAAATCAAAAACCGGGACACTCTCGGTTTGGGGTATAATAATAATAATAATAATAAATATTTTTCTTATGCAATCGGTGAGTCAGTATAGTCACATTTTCTTTGTTTTTTGGTCATTTTTAAGCAGCTTTTAATTTTTTTAATGAAACAAATGACAATTTATGCCTCTCTTTAGTGTTGGCAAGGATCAAATTGGTCAAAAATACGGACACTTGGGACATTTCTTGTATAAAACTGGTTTGACCACATTGTATATATAGGCTAACCCGGTAAAAGCTGTGGTAATAAAGTTTGTAAATTTGAATAAGTTAACAGAATGAAGTTAAAAAGTCATGCTTAACCCTCTCAGGCTCAAATTAATTTTTCGTATCAGGAAAAATCTGATATTTGGGGAAAATTATCATATGGGGTAGTAATATACAATCCTGACTTTTTTAAACAAAAAAAGTATTTTGCACTTGTAGCAGGCCGTTTGCGTGTAGTCATTCTTGCACAGTCTGCATCGTCCACGTTTATCAGCACGGACGGGAGAAAAGGCTCCTGAGTAAAAAAAAGCTAATAAAATATGGATGTGGAGTAAGTAGGTAACTGGAATTTAGCTGTTGCAAATCTGCAACGTCTGCCTGGAGAGGGTTAAAACAGATTTGCAGTGAAACAGATGTTGAGCAACTGATGGACATTTAAAGG